TTCTCTTTTCTAATTAAAGCTGTGCTTTCTATGAATTAGGTTGGCATCTGTATAGCAACTGTAAGAAGAATGCCCATTATATGTGTTACACATGTACCTTTTCCTTGTGCAAGGGCTGCATCAAAGATGCTGTAATCCTATGTGTTAAGGGTAACAAAGGTTGCTGCGAGTCATGCAAGAATCTTGTCACGTTGATTGAAAGGAAGGATCAGGTAAATGAAGAAATGGTATTATTATACCGATATTTTATTTCCATTTTATTTTTGTTTTATTCTTTGCATTTGCAATATCTCATTATTGTTTTATTATTGAACGTTGTGAGCTTGATAGTATGTTGTTTTAGCCATATATGCATTAAGAATGTGTAGCTCCTGACGTCGTCTTTTGTATTTGCAGTATGTTTCCATGATTCTATTTGATTGTGGGAATTTTATATTTGGAATCATTTCTGCATTTATCTCAATTTTCTGATATACTGTGTTTCAAAATTTAGTTTATTTTTATATATTTTTAGCCTAATAGGGTTGTTTATGGGGTAAGTTGTAAATATGTAACAGGTGATTTCGTAGCATCAACTTTCTTTCCTCGTATAATGTTAAAATTATTAATATCAATCTTGAGCTCTTTTTTCCCTCTTGGTATTTGTTTTTTTTTTGGTGGTGTGTGTGTGGGGGGGGGGGGGTTATTCCGTCTCTTTAGTCTGTTTTATGAGGATGATTTATTTTGGGTTTTTTTAAGCATGCTTCATTATAGAATGTCTCAAGTCTATGTTTCATCATCTTGAAATAAAAATAGTCAACGTGTTTGAATTGTATGGTTATACCAGACTCTTGACCTTCATACTGACATTGTTTTCATTTGCATTCTTCAATGGTTTCTGTTTTTTGTTGAGTCTGTAAGAACAAAAGAAAAGAGTGTCCACCGGAGAACATCACATGTTAAAGTCTTTCAGATTGAGAGAATGTGCTGAGCCTGAGCTGAAAGGAAAATCAAGAAACATGTATCAATATTTTGTCTTGATTCAGTAAAAAAAATTCAACAGATTACTAGTTATTTTGTGGCTGTATTCACATATGAATGTTGAGTCATTCCTTGTCTGGGGTTTTAGGCTCTCTCTCTCTCTCTCTCTCTCTCTCTAGCTGCTAGTTTGGTGGAAATTCTCCATTTTGTGGTTATCCAGAATATTTGTTGTTATTTTTGCAGACACAAATAGATTTTGATGAGCTGGGAATAGGATTATTGGATTGATTTAAAAGAGAGGTTATCTATGACTTTAGATGAACTTTCTTAGGCTAAAAATCCCTGGAACGGTGCGGCCAAACAGGAATCAGCGGATGAACTTCATGGTTTTGATGATGTTGGAGGGTCTGCTTCTGATCATTCTTCTGGGAATGTGGAAGTAACTGTTTCTAAACGAAGAAAGACTAGGAGTCAATCAAAGGCACGTGCAAGGGAGGGCGATTCACCAAGCACTCTTGCATCTACTGGTGAAGAGGCATCTACAGATGAAAGTGCTGAGAGGGCATCAAAGAGCTCTTGGATGTTGTTATGAACATGAGGAACAGAGACAAATCTGTTTTATCTCGAATGGAGCTCAGTCAACTTATATTTGATTACATTCACAAGTACAAGCTTCGAGATCATCACAATACATTTTGTGACACAAAGCTTAAGAATCTGATTGGGAAATCAAGAATGGGGCATATTGAACAATCTTCTTGACCCTCGCGTATTTTTCACGAAGGAGGATTCTCAGACTGATGGTTTCCAAGGGAGTGTTGTTGATGCAGAAGCTAATCAACTTGAGGCTGATTAGAAATCTGATGCTTTGACAAAGACCGGAAAAGATAATAAACATAAGAATCATAAGAAGGTTGATGCAAGGGGACTTCAATCGAATGTGGATGATTATGCTGACATTGATATGCATAATATCAATCTAATTTATTTGTGACGAAATTTGGTGGAGGAATTGCTTGAAGACACTGAAACATTCCATGACAAGGTTGGTGATTCTTTTGTGAGAACAAGAATATCTGGTGCTGGTCAAAAGCAAGATTTGTACAGGCTAGTGCAAATTGTTAGTAAATATCTTTCTTTTCAATTAGGGTTATATGTATGCATGTAGACGTGAAGACATTTTGTTGTTGAGAATGGCTAATTAGTATGTTCCGTGATCTTGAAAATCATGAAGCACAAGTTTATGGTGGGTAGTCTTGATTAAGTGTGATGCCTCATACAAAAAAGAGTGAAATTTCTTACATATGGATAATATGCAAAAAAGGATCATGTTCTTAATCCTGAATTTGATCTGCTTGGGTAGTATCATTGGTAGTATCATATCAGTTTGTGTTATTAAAAAAGAACAACCAAAATTTTTCTGTTACCAAAATGCAGTGGTTAGAGTCAGAGATAACGCGTCTCAGTCATCTTCGTGATCGAGCCAGTGATTTAGGACGTAGAAAGGAATATCTTTTGCTTATAATTTTAGTTTCTGCACTATAATTCTCTTCAATTGCAATTGGATGCTTTCATTTAGTTTTTAATGAGTTGCAACATTTTTGGACATTGGGCATGCTAGAGGCTTGACTGTGATGCCTTGATTGAGGGAGGGAAGGGAGGAGGACCAGTAACCTCACCTTTATTTCAAAACATCTTTTAGGTTTAAAAGGGAGAGATATCCCTGCTAAACCAGAAGACCTTCAATTTGTATGAACTGTCCAAATTGGGGATTTGGTGGAGTAGGATGCCTTGTTAAATAGTTTTACTTAGATAAAATTTATCCTTTTTCAAATAGTATTTATTATAATGTATAATCATAGTGCATGCAATTGAAAAGTATACACTAAATGATCATCTTGTTGGTGCAATCTGAAAATAAGTTATGTTTTAAGGGGGGAAATTGATGACACTTCTTGATGTAGTTGCTAGGGACTACTTTCCTGCGGTTGAGTGATGAACTGAACCTACAGTTACTATGTGCTAGACATATTTCCTTTTAATGGAAAGAACCGTCTCCGACTGTTTTATTGTAGACCTTGACTTTTGCTCACGCTTAGAGAATGAGTAGAGAAACTACAGGTTTTAAAGACACCTGAAGAGCTACAACGTAGATCAGAGGTGTTTCCTGATACGTGTAGACCCCAACATGATCCTAGTTACGAGGAGGAAGATGATATTTCCCTGCTGATTTAAAATATGGAGAACTAATGAGACGCAAGATGATTCTATACTTTTGACTGATGCCTTGGCTGGAAAGTTTCAGAAAGACCCTCCTCCAGTAGAAGATAATAGCCTGCCCAAGGCTCAAATGGCCTTGTATGAGAATTCTCTTGGAGCAACTTTGAAACAAGGAATGGAAAGCCAAGTAGGAGAAAGATCAAGGCTTGATCAACATCATGTAGCTTGTAGTCCTCAACGTGTTTTGGCTTCGCCAGGTCAATCTGTCGTAGAAAGTTGGAAATCTCAAACAGAAGTCATTTCTTCCACAGTCAGACCGACCTGCCCCATCTTCACTTGAGATCCCAAAGCTTTCTCGAGATACATGGGGCTTTGACACAAATCTACCTTCTCCCACACCGAACCAAACTCTCTCTGGTGGGAATAAGGGGACAAGCGTTTGAAAGCAAATGGTCTCCTACTCCCGCACAGCCTTCGGGTTCTCTTCCAGTAGCTAGTCCATTCCAAGGAGTTGCAGTAGGGGATGCAACCTGCTACTGTTGTTCCAGAGAGTGGGAGCCAGCCGCTCCTGTAGTGCATTCACATACAATGGTGTCAAGTGAATCACTCAGGAGACAGGTCAATGCTTAGGCTTCAGTTAATTTAGGTGCTGATATAAAAAAAATGCAGCTGTGTCTATCCAGAATTTAGTTCAATCTATGGGTGCTCATAATCCTTCTGCCGAAACTCATGGACCGGGTTCTGTCCAGTTTCAAGGCAAGAAGCAATTTCTGTGTCCTCCATACCTGCAACTGGAACTCAGAGGTGGGCAAATGCTTCAACTCAGAAGTTAGAGCCAAATCCGTCACGTGCCATGCCTGCTCAACCTGCTGCTTATGGTCATTGGGATGATGCATCGCAATCCAGTCAACTCCTTTCAACCCAGGAAATCCCACTGGGGTTTTTCCGACTTCTGGCCAACAGAGTATGATGCCACGAATTCCAGGAGACCTGCCGGTCCAGTTCAGTAAAATGTTCAGCTTCCTGCTCCACCTAATTTACCTTGGGTATGACTGTCACAGATAACCAAGGTACTGCCCTGAGAAGGGGATCCGGAAATCAGAACCCTGCTTGGGGGGCAATGATAGGGAATCAAAACATGGGATGGGGTGCACCGGTCCCTGCAAACACAAATATGAATTGGGGAGCCTCTAGTCAGGGTTCAGCGTCTATTAATGCAACTCAAAATTGGGCTGCACCTGGCCGAATGCAAATCCAGGTTGGACTGGACCTGGGAATACAATGCAAGGATGGACACCACCTAGACAAGGACCCAACACTGTTAATAATGCAAATTCTGGATGTGTTGCAACAGGTCAAGGAGCAGCACCAGGAATTGCAAATCTTGGTTATGCTGCACCCTCTAAAAATACAAGTGGCATGTGGAGAAACGAACCGAGTCACAACGGAGACAAGTTTGCTGATCAAAGGGACATGAGCTCCCAGGGATGTGAATCCGGTTTCGGTGGGTAGAAACCTTGGAGTAGGCAATCATCATTCGGCGGTGGAGGTAGTTCTTCTAGGCCGCGTGACCTGATTGGTTCAATTTGATTTTAGATCTAACATGGACAAAGATTATATAGCCTCTGGTTGGTTCAAACATAGTTTTATTAACTTTAAAATAGTTTTATTGATTTTAATTATGTAAATATATAGATATTAATATAAAATTATATTTTAAATATTTTCATTTTAAAATGAGAAATTTTGAGGATGAAATACAAATGAATTTAACTTGTAGGACGGAAATTGCAAAATTGCTCTATTTATACTCCAAAATACCCCTAACATTCATTTCAGTTGCAGAGAGTAGACGTATGAAGATGAACAAGGAAGAGGCTAAAATCGAAACCCAAAATCAAAACCCCAACTCTAGCGCGAACCCCAACAATCAAAATCAAATCCGAGGATCCAAAGGGAAATCATGCAAGGGCTGCCTCTATTACTCCTCCGCTCTTAAATCCAAATCCCAAAACCCAACCTGCGTCGGCATCCCCAGAACTCTCCAACAAGGTCTCTATCTCCCTTCATATACTTTTATTATGTTCTTATGATTCTTGGTTTCTTATGCTTTCTTTTCATTTCTTGATTCTTTTGAATTTATTTGTTAAAACTTGGGGGGAAACGGTATGAACTGAATGGAAGGTATGATAGTACCTAGGTACATAATTGGGGAATCTGAATTGGAAGCTTCCAAGGAAGGCCGTACTCTTACGGATTTCAAGTATGCTTGTGTCGGTTACTCGGTTTTCTTGGATAATAAAGATTCTTCAGCTGATAATAACCAGTCTGATAAACCGGTTGAATTACCCTTCTGTGTCGGTCTTGAGGTATTTCTTTATCCCTTTTTGGTTATTTTATATTCCTAATGCATGTTTGGAGATTGTGGGTTTTGGCTACAAATTAGATGTATTTCATTTTAGATTTGAACTGTTTGGGGATTATTGATTTTTATGACTGCATGAGTGCTAATCTGTATGAATTCTCTTATGTTCCTGCGAATATCCATAAAAACAAAGGTATTTGACCGCATAAAATATATTTCATCGCTTTATGGAATATGATAACACTTATGTGTATGTTTTTCAAGGACTGGAACAAATCACGAGCACCGTCTTAACAGTTTTAAAATGTATTTCGCCACATTTATAGAATATGTTGACACTCGTGTATGTCCTCAGTTAAATAATACACTATTCTGGTTACCTGTTGCTTCAGGTATTGTTGGACAGAACAGCTGCTTCGAATGACCATGTTCCTGCGAATATCCATAAAAACAAAGGTATTTGAAGTCATTTCATTTGGGTTTTTTGTCTTTTTCAGGCATGTGTGAGGAAACAGTCGTGAGTATGAGAATAATGTTACACCAATAGTTCACTTAAAGTCCCATGTTACGATAATTGGGATTATAATAGTGTGAAAACAAACAAGATCGTGAACAGGAACACGGATCTACATGAAAAATCGGAGGATTTCGTGGGAGTACATCAAACCCTAGAACCAATTGTACAGATACAAAACCCTAGTTGATTAAAACTGTATCATACTGCATGGGCTCTGCCTCTACCACAAATCCCCTATTTTCTCCCAATTTTATTTATTAACCAAGATCGCAAACTTTTTGAGTCTGGCCACAATGGAATTTGAGTCACAAACTCTAACATCCCGACCTCTTTGCAGTAGTTCTTGATGTAAGTTGTAAAGAAAATTTCTGGGTTCTATCTCTTGTTGCATGCTATTCATTGATGATATATTATAGTCCTAGACTCGAGTTAATCATCGGTTAAAATTCTTGATGATTACTTTTTGTTCAAAAGTTTTAGTTCAAGCATTTATCAAACCAGATGCGTGAGAGCAATTTCATTAAAAATTAGAAGCAGAGATGATGTAATCAAAATCAGTGATCCTGAAAGCTCCGAGGAGAAGTTTGTTTGGATTTGGTGATTCATTAGGAAAGGTATTCTGAAGAGAGGAAGATACACAACGGAGAACAAGAGAGGGAAAAGAGAAGAATATAAGTAGCCGAGAAATGAGAGAGGGAAACCTCGTTATTAGGTTTCAACTCTTCTCTAATATAGTGTTTCTTGTATTTGCTCACTTGCAGATAGTCATGCGATTCCTCAACCTCGAACCCAGAGGTCAACACCGTCGACAGGAGATGAATTCTATAACAGGCAAGCACTGATTGAGATTTTGGAACACTCTTAGATGCATTAAAGATTACGCATCGTTTCACGTTTCTTCATTATATATATATATATAGTTAAGTAGCGAGAATCCTAAATTGTGAGTACTGAATATACGTGCAGGTTTAAAAGGAACGCAGGCCTCGTGGCAACGGGTGTTGTCAAGAATGTGAATAAAATCGGAAACCGCATCAAAGAAACTCTGGACGACATTATGTATAGGCGACCAAAGTGAGAATTCTGAATACTCTTATGATCGTATGCATTCTAATAAGGAATTCTATTGTATTTGTCTTGTTTTTGCTATGGATTAAACCCCTTTTTTCAACGCTGGAAGATGAAGCATTTGACTGCTATCATTATAACACATTTTTGTCAAGTATACATGAAAGTAGCTGCTGCTGATGGAGCTTGTTCATTTCCAAAACTCAAACTTTGATTCGGTAGTGCGCTAAATTGTTAAGAATTTTGTTGTTTTTCTATTGATGGATAGAATATCCATTGCAATTCTCAAATAGATTTTATATTTAATAATATTCTAAATAGGTTTTATTAAACAAAAACTCATCTCTATATTTGGAAGATACATATTATCTATATATTATCACACAAGTTGATTAGCATGTAATTACTTCAAGTAATTTGCTACAACGTTAGACATAAATGTGAATTTGCACAACTAATAGTTTTATTTTATTTCTTATGTTATTTACTCTTTTCTTTCCATAATTTGTCTCTTATATTGATTATGTACATAATTTTAAGAGATATTTGACAAAGAGAAATGATAAAATTATTCTAAAATGTGATTGGTAGATTTATTTTGACAGCGTAATGAGACATGCAAAGGTAAAAAACGAAATGTAAGTGTTATTTGTTGACTTTTTTTCGTGGGAGTACTAGAAAGTTAAATTAATTATTTTATTGCTTAATTTTATTTGGAAAAACGGTCGTTAGATTTTCTATATACTAAGTTATTGTTTATTGATTAATTAATAATTAAATTTATCATACTATTTCAAGATATTTATTAACATGACTATATTAAATGATACTCTTTCCTTCAACTAACTGATTTGATGTAATTGTTCGACTATTCAGAATTAAACAAATTCAAAACTTTTGAGGGGTCTTTTTAATAAAATTTGCTAGTCTTATTAAAAATTAAAAATATATAAAAGTATAATAAGAGTTTACAACTATCTTTATAAAATAATTATATAATTTTGATATATTTTAATAACATTAAAATTAGCAATTTGGATCATACATGAAAAAATTATAAACCTAATTTAGCCAAAGGTTCGAAAAAATAATACGAACAAATCTGATTACATGGCAAATGAATCACAAAAGGGTTAAGCTATTGAAATTTATCGAGAATCATGAATCAGAATCAAGCATCGTAAGAAACTACCTACAACGTAAAATCGTGTATCCAAATTAATCAAAATGTTCATAACAGAGAATATCAATAAAATTATAAATAAGTTTCATCTTGATTTTTAGTAGCGTCGTCGAATTCAATTTTGAGAAAACATAAAATAAACTTATTGAATGGTTTTATAATTTAAAAGGAGTAGTTCTCCTTGAGTTTTTCGATTTGAACAATTACATTTGTAGGATATGTATGTGTTATCAATAGTTAAGAAAGATTACGAACATATGTTAATTTGTTATCACCTCAAATTATCAACATTTTTTAAAATAAATTCACTTAAAAAACAACACAACAAGGTTGAAATAAGGAGGATACAGTCTGTAGATTGTGTAGCCGAGCTTAGTTCAGAGGGCGTAAGAAAAACAATCATGACACCATCTACAAACTATCATGATAATTCATTTGATTTTGTCAACAAATCTGGGCCTTAGACAGATTGAACCTTAGCCGTTGCTAAAGCTTGTACGCTAGGAAGACAACGAAGATTGAGATGGTAAAGCTCGAGACATACCTGCCATAACACAAAAATGCATTATTCGGTACCCATTGCATTGCACCGTATATGTTTACAAGAGCTTCTGTGAATATACAATACTAGTATACATCAGTACAACATTTATATTATGCAAAAAATGAGCATGAAAGCAAAACTACAGGGGATCAAAAGTTCAAATCAGAAGGAAGAATTTGCCAGTATTGTCTTTTAAAGGAAACTTATGCAGATGTTCTTCAAGTGTCCTCAAAATACAAGATTTAATTGGATCAAAAGTTCAAATCAGAAGGAAGAATTTGTCAGTCTACATAAATAATATTATTTTTATTAAAATATTATTAGACCATTATATAATGTCAAAATCGGATTCGGATCCGGATATTTGGATATCTGATCCGAAATTTGATATCGAATTTTTAGATCGATAGGATCATTACTTTAGGTATCCGAAATTTTTAGATATTCGATATCCGATAATACATACCCTAATTGTGCGTTCTAAAATTTTATAACACGTGTCTTAATTTTTAATTCAACTTTCTAAAAACTTGACGCCTTTACCATAAAATGTTATAATAACCGTACCATTACCAAGTGCACCATTTTTTTTAATTTTATTCTGTGTATGTGATCATCACTGTGGTCCACTGAAAATGGTATTAGAAGACACTTTCTTTTGTCAATTTGTTAATGGTGACGTTTGCTCTAATGACTCACACGGCCCCATTTTAATCCTTTGATTCAGATATCTCGACAACTTGGCCTTCTTTTCGTGGTCTCAATTTAAAAGTTAAAAAAAAGTTGATTTTTATAAAAAATATATAAAAAATTATTCAAATTTTAAAAAAAATTCAAAGATAAAGTTATGTATAAAAATTGTCAGCTAAAATTTTTAAAACACTAAAATAGAAGTATATCTTCAGGTTTACCAACAGTATATATTCGTATAATTTTAATGATATATTATTATAAAATTCGATTATAATACTATATTAATTCATACGTGTCTAACATTCAACTCTTAATATTTGACGTTCCGTTGCCTTGGAAATTGTCAGGAAGCAAGGGCCGGCTGAATCATTTTGAACGTGTCAAAAACCACTAGAAAGTGACACTTTCAATGTTTCAATTAATAAAATAAAAATTATAGAATGATAATTAAATTTATATATTAAATTTATTATATTATAAAAAATTAATCATTAAAATTATTAAAATTTATCAAAAAAATTAATACGACCTCGTAATACTCGTTTAATGATAATTTTAAAATAATTTTATAATTTTTTTAAATTTTAATAACTGAAAAATGATTGGAATATATTTCAATTATCATCGAGTGAATTTTATCCTAATAATAGTAGAAATAAATAAAATTCAAACTTGTAATTTTAAAATCTGCTGCAAAAATAAATTGATAAAAAAGTCTAGAAATAAATTAAATAAAAACTGAATACTAGGAATTAAAACCCTACCTAATTTCCGAAATTAGACCCTGAAATCTAGAAACTAAGCTAAGCCCAATAAGAGTTAAATTAAACCCGGTTCAATCCTGGTTTAGCTTTGCTATTTTCCTAAACTCTCAAAAACTCGGAATCATACGAGTCAACTCATCCGATACCTTCCCTTCCGCTACCTCTTTCTTTCTTCTCATTTCCAAAACTTTCCGGTGGCTGTTGGAGTGTACGTCACCGGAGAAAGTGGGGCTACAAGCTGGTCTGTACTCGGGAAAGAGCCGACCGGACTTGTAACGAACCCCACAAGCGTTGCACAAGGTTTTGGCACCGAGTGGACCAGTTCGCCACTGAGGAGTCTTTTGAACTTGGCAATGACTACACCTTCGTTGGAAAGCGCTCCCACCACTAGCCTGAACGCCCGGTTTTTTCCTCTGCTTCTTCGTCGGCTGCTCGGAGAAATCGTTGGTCAGCTCGGTTTTGAGAACCAGAGCCGAAGTCATGGAAAATCCGGAAGAAGCACTTGAAGACGACGACGCCGTCGTCGAAGACGATGACTCGGAAAGAGGCAACGACCCAACCGGCCATGCTTTTCCGGTCGGTTTAGCCCTTTTGCTCCGACTTTTAGACGGTACCGGTGACGAAAAACACGGCGTTTTCACAAAAACGGGTGCCGACGAGGATTCAAACCGAGCTTTTGCTTGGCTCTCTTTGAAAACCGGGCATGGAAAGTGAAGCTCCGGAACCGAATCGTCCACAAACTGAGATACCCATTCAAGCCCTGCAATTTCTTCATCCTAAAAAGACCAATATATATATAATAAAAAAATTTGCATGGAAAAGAGGGTTTTATTTCCTTTTTGTAATTTAAAATAATTTATTAAGAAAATAGAAATTTACCGGTACAGATAATTCGTTGGTGAGAACAGAATCAAAGGAGAAACTGCTGGAATTCGAGTTGCTATCATCATCTGCTAGACGTTGTTCTTGCGAGAGAATAAAACCAGAATTTTCTTCGTTATCGAATTCTCCGTTCGTGAAATCAAAGAAACAATCGACGGAGAAATCTTCGCCGGGAACGGCACCGTTCAGGCACAATAAATCATCGAAAACAGCATGCTGGTTGTTCTTCTGCATGGTTAATTCTCCCCTTACACTTGATTTCAACGCTCTTTCTTCCATGCAGAACTCCATTTTATCTACACCCAAACAAACAAAACCTTGTTTTCTTAGTTAAATAATTCCGAAAATTACTAATTGGATAAAACCCAGAAATTTAAAAGCAACAGGAAAACCAAAAGGATAAAGGATTATATATATATTACAAAATTTAAATAAATTACCTGATACAGATGAAGGATGAGAAAGAGGGAAAGGTGAGGAGTTGGTTAAGGCTTGTTCGAGGGCGAGACTAATGCTAAAACTTTGACACACAGTTTAATGGAATTTATCTTCTTTACCGTCTCTCACTCAACAATTTTTTTTTTCAATTTGTGAAATTATTTATACCATAAAAAGAAAAGTCTTGTTGGAAGAGATTTGACTTTTCTGTGGTGGCCTTGTTTGGACCGAATCCAATAATTTCCATAAGATTTTTCTTTTCGATTTTTTCATGTTCACTGGATTCCTTTTGACATATGTCTTCTTCTTCTTCTTTCTTTCCCTTTGCTTCAAATAATATTATTTATGGAAGTTTTATAAATTTAATATATATATATATATATATTATCTTCGAAGATCACCTCTAAAAACTATTAATTTTCTGTTAATTGAGAGTCTTAGATAGATTCTTTTGTTCATTTTATGAATATATGAATATTATAATATGTGAGTTAGCTATAAGATCTCTTACATGTCCACATAATATATCAAAGTGAAATTTTAAAAAATTTACTTTAAAATAAATTTAAAATCAAATACACATTTATTATTTATATATAATAAAATTTATAAAATATAATCTCTAAATTTCCAATAAAATATTCTTACCGTTAAACGAAGACAACACTTATCTTTTTCTTTTATGAAGTGCATTTGGTATTTAAATATATTAATCACATTCGATATTTAAAAAATATATTTAAATAAAAAATGTATTTAAGATAATTTAAGATAACAGATGTATAAAAAAAATAAGATAACAAATATTATCCTTTTCTTCAATATATTTTAAAAAAAATTAAATATCAAATTGGAAGAAGATAATTAATTCAAGTGTCAATTTACAAATATTTTTTTCAAGTATTTAACTCAAAATAACGTGCCTAAATCAAAATCAAATTTTCAGATATAAAATTTATATTTAAGATAACTAATTCAAGTATCAATTTAAGGCACGGTATTGTTTATTATTATAATAGTTTGACGTTTCATGTTGTATTTATCATGACATACATTCTTATTATAAAATATCGACAATCTCTTATAATTAGATTTCTTTTGCAATAATTTGTTGATGTATTCAAAACGTTCATATATGAATCTCTTATATTGATTCTCTTAATCTTTTCACCTACGTTAATATTGCGTCTAGTTTTCATTTTTAAATAGAGAAAAAAATTATTAATAATTATTATGCTTTTTTTTTCTCTTTGAAAGTTTACACATATATTCAAATGAAGATTTTCTTTTCTTTTCACATATTTTATATTTTCATATTTAAATTGTGTTGTATTTATGGTACATATAAATCTAGTTTCTTTTTTTTTCTAACAAACAAATTGCAAATTACTTTTAACTCTAAATAATAATCCGTTATTAAATTATCTATTTCTTTCATTAATTTCTCAAAATTGACACCTGGCTTTGAGTTGATTTACAGTATTAGGTTGCTTTGCAGCATCAATTTCGGCCCTTTTCCGGTGGATTTTGCTTAACAATTCCCGCCTATTCCTTTTCTAATTTTAGGGGTTTTGTTGTCAATCGACAGATATCGAGCGTGTGTAATCCAACAATCTCTAGCGCTTCAGATTCTATATCGGACGGTTCAGGACTCGAATGTATCTCACGTATTGGCAAATCTAAGGGTTCTTTGATTTAGTGGCAAAATTGCTTGCCAAAAGTTCACGCATGCAAAGGTAATTGCATTGTGGAATAAAATAGGGTAAAATATCTATCTGGTCACTCATTTGTTCTTTGATTTATGTTTTGATTATTCAACTATTTATTTTTCCAAAATCATATCCAAAAATGCTGTTATTCCAAAAGCTTATTTAAAAAACAACGGAGAAGTAACTCTTAATCTCAATAAAACAATGTTTTGCATTGCTTCTGTAGTGAAATAGTAGATAAATGTTATTAAACATTCATGCACGAACTAAGCGATCTTAGTGATTAAGGAATTGTTGTTATCATTTGAGATATCGGGCTCGAGCATTACGTATGCAAGGATATGAGTGTTCAATACCACATGATTGAGAGTCTTTAAACATACACTACCTTATATTAAATTAATTTAAAAATAACATTTTTATTTAAAAAATGTTTTGCATTGCTTTTGTTATGAAATAATATTGAATATTATTATATGTTTTTATATATTTTTTTATATTATAATCACATCTATTCATTTAATATTATTTTAGATTATTTTTCCTTTTTTTTAACATTTTTCAGATTTTTTTTCAACTTCACAAATATTGTTGTCTTAATTACATTTAAAATAACGACAATATCATAGAAGTGTGATCCAAATAGTGGAATTTAGCTATACATGATGATAAGAACAACAATATAAATAGAGGACAAGTGGGGTAGATGTGAAATTGAACCTAGCCATTGCTATTTTTAAATTTATTTTTATATTTAATAATTTTTTTTAAAGTTAAAAGTGTAGTTGTGTATACAATTATAAATACAAATAAATATATTTAAATTGTTATTAAGTACGAACTGAGTAGCATCAATGATTAAAAAAATGGTTGTTATTCCTATAACTCTTAAGTTCGAGCACCAACAACTGCAGAGAATTTTAACGTTCATTGTTAAATGGTTGAGAGTTTTTATAATAAACAAATATTACTTGCAATAACTCTAGATTAATAAAAGAAAATTATTATAATCAAAATTAATAATTGTAAAATAAGATCAAAAATAATATATGGACCTAATTTAAAATAATTAAATCTTTGTTATTTTGTAATTAAAAATAAAATAAATAGAAAACATACATATAAAGTGATATGTAATTGTTATTGTATTTAAATAGAAAGATTAGTGAAAATAATACAAATGCATCTTTTAATTTCTTGGGTAATTTACATTTAGTACCTCAACTACCACTTTTATTTTCTTTTGGTCACCTAGCTATTGTTTTTTTTAAAATCATACCTAAAATTACATTTTTGTTTTATTTTAGTCACACATTGTTAAAAAATTAACAGAATTATTGATGTGACATATTTTTTAATTTTTTTTCAATGTTGACGTTACATAACATTATTTTATGGTGATACATTAGCAACAATAACAACAACAACAACAAAACCCTATTCTCATATGTAATGGGGTAAGGGAGAGGTGGGGTAGTAGGCTGTCCCTAACGCCAGATTGAGAGCAGTTTCCGTGGAAGACCTCCGGCAGTAAGATAATTAAAAATAAAAAATACAATGCATGCATAAATAAATCAATAAATACACAATTGAACAGTCTTCATATGCGCGTATGTAATGGGAAGTAATCCCTGCAAATAAATCTCTGCGTAAAAATCTCTGCTTATAGACAGAAACGTAAGTCCCGGTTAAATTTAAAAAGAGGAAACATGAAGAGAATGATATACAGAAGTCAGCGATAGCAAGCTACAATAATGAATAAAGTCAAATGGGTTAAATCCTAAACTAAGGTCACACTACTTCGTTATCCTAATTTTAAGCCTTCATAAATTCCAATCGAAGAAATATATAAAAAATAGAAGTCATGGAGATTACTATAAAGGCATTAAAAAGAAGACATAGATGCTACACTACTCGGGTACCCTGGTCTTGAGTCTCCATACTTTCTTATCAGAGGTCATGTCCTCGGTAAGAGCTAATTCCTTCAAATCAGATCTCAAGCAGTCAACCCACTTCCTCCTTGGTCGTCCTCTCCTTCTGGCTCCGTCGAGTGTAATTGACTCTACCCTTCTGACCGCATCCGACGGTTGTCGCCTAAGGACATGCCCAAACCACCGTAGTCTTCACTCCCTCATTTTTTCGGATACAAGCACCACCCCCAAGGACTTCCTAATTGCAGGGTTTGGTGTCATGTCACACAAAGTCCTACCACATGTCCATCGAAGCATTCTCATTTCTGCGGCCTCCATCCTCCTTACGTGATCCTTCTTGATTGCCCAACATTCTGATCCATACAGCAGCACTGGTCTTATTGTCATTCTATAAAAATTTTCCCTTAAGTTTTAGAGGCACCGTCTAGCCACACAAAACTCCAGTTGTAGCCCTCCACTTTAGCCATCCCACCTTTATACGGTGTGTAACGTCATCATCTATACCCCATCTTTATGTATCATAGACCCCAGGTACTTGAAACAATCCTTTGAGGGGAGAACGTGTCCTTCGATGCATTACGTTAAATTTGTTTTAACAGTGGATGACCAAAATGACACTAAAACAGAACAGAAGTGATAGTTAAAAAACTAAACATTTAATTTACCCTAATTTCATATCCGGGAAAAGTTTATTCTTTTATCAAATTGCATGTTCAGTTAGGTACTTTATCATCATCACTTACTACAACTCCACTACCTAGTTTTCGTATCGTATCATATTTAATGCTTCATCGAATTAGAAGTTGAGCAAACACTGCAAGCAACACACGATTGTTCGATGACCCTCATCCACATATCCACGATGGACCCCAAAATGCATTTTCTTTTCTTTTCTTAAAAGAAGGCGTCATTGCTTCTATGTGTGTGGTGTGCGTATTAAGTCTTATCATAAATAACGTTTTTGAAAGGATCCAACAACCGGACATGTCAACCTTGTAATTAGTATACCAACTTAATTTATGAATGTGTATATATACAACAACATACACATACTTTTGTGTTAAGAATGGTGAATTTCTAAAATTTTAAAAGTGAATAAAATAAATTATCAATAAAAAATATTTAAAATATATAATAATTTAATATTTTAAAAGAAACTACTACCCGCATTCTATCCCTCGGTCTATCCCTATATATATATATATATAAACTTAACACTGGGTTTGTGCAACCCTAGTCATTAAGCTGATGGCAGTGCTGTTATATAGCCCAGCGAAGAAAGGAAGCTGATACAAGGTGTGATACTGTGATTTCCATGACATAAATGGATCTTATTTGGACCCATTTGACCTCCTCCATAATCAAATGGATCGTGCTTCATCAACTATAGGATGAATCAACCCTGGTTTATAGTCTTCAGAAAGTGGATAGACATGTAAAATTCAAATCATCTTTGCAATCATTCTGTACTAATAAAAAAAATTGAATAGACATGATAAATAATTAATGAAGAGATATTAAAATTTTAATTTAATATATAATATAATATATACATATATATCATTTTAATATTATATAAATATATTTTATTTTATTTTTTAAAATATGCAATACTAATATAATATCATTTCATGTATAATTTTAATAAATACAAGAAGAAGTGTTGTTCGCGTTTGAATCAGATTTTATCGTCTATTATATGTGAACAAATAATTTGATAATTATCAACAGGTTGGTTCAAGTGGTAAGCAGTTTAATATCACTTAAACATGTCTCGAGTTCGAGTATTTGTGTATGCAAAAAATCTCTATTGGGAGACTCACCTGTCAAAATAGGTGCATGATATGGATCGATCTAGATTAAGTTAGAATAAATATATGGAACAAGGAAGACAATAAAAATACAATTCATAAAATAATTTTTTAATAAATTATAAATTTAATTTTAAAATATAAAAGATTTTAAAAGCAAGACTTCACATGGAAGCCAATTTTGAAGGTGGGGATAGTCATTCGAGTTTGGCTTCCTTTTAATTATAACTCCCTTGCCGGTCTCAATTTGCTTTAGACACAAGTCATCATGAGCAAATAGGAAAAGATGTTGCCCCTCTAAGCTTATTCAAGGTTGTTTAACTAATATATTATTATTAATATTAATCAATATTTAACTCAAATGTTAATTTATAATTAGGACGATAAAAAACAATATTGATTTTTTATTAGAACTATCATTATTTTTTATTAATCAATTGACAATATTGATTTTTTATCAACACAAGAAATATACAATAAAAAAATCCATAGATCAAATAATTAAGTTTTTATTCCACTAATTTCCACCTTATTTTACAAAATTAAATAAGAATTCCAGTTTAATAGTCAACATAAAAATAGAATCATAGAGGGTAGATCGGTTGTTTAATATTTGAAAATTCAGAAAACATAAACAATGGAGAGCTCAGAGAGTAAAATAGGAACGCGCGCACCATAACAACCTAGTTTCTAGATTCTAGCTAGTCTTCAAAACTTTTCAAAATCACAATGTCTTGCCCACGGCAATATACCAAACAAGCTCTTTCACTGAACCACCCTCGCCCTCTCAAAACCAAAGGCATCTGTTTACCGATTTCTTCGTTTATAGCTCTTTAAATCCATAGGGAAACAGCTCCGATTCTCCTCCGGTGAATGGACGCGATCCGAAAACAAGCTACGCGGCTCCGAGAACAAGTCGCCCGCCAACAACAGGTCTCTCTATCTCTACTATCTCCTAATTCAATCTCTACCTTTTTATTCATAGTTGCATTTGATCCAGGTCAACGCCTATTTATCAGCTTCATATTTCATCTTTCTCTATATTTTCTCTCATGTATATATATAGAGCTGTTTGTTTTCGATCTGGTTTTCTTGTTAATCTACTTTATTTCGATTCAGTGCTCGATTTTCAGCCAAGTGTCGGATCTATTTCCGTGTGCCTGATAGCGCGTCTATGATTCATGAATCGGATCAAATATTAAACTGAAAATGCTGAGCTATTGGATGCTATTTTATTAGCTAAATTGAAAATTTTGAAGTTGGAGGATGGAATTTGAAATTGGATCGGTAGTCTTTTTAAATTTTGCGTTTCAATCAAATGATGATAAAAGTGGAAATAAATGTTAACTGTTCGATTTTTCTTTTCCCTTTTGAAATCAGTATGAAACTCCTCAGTATGTTTTTGGTTTCAGATTGCCACCTACGGAGAGCGTTGCTTGTTTTAACTCAAATGCGTTACTATGTTATTGATTTTCGAACTTTTTTAACTTTTTTTCCCTGAATGTTACTTCAGGCTGTCTTTAAACAGTTTGGGGGATATGGAGGTTCAGACAATGTAATTACTGATGAGGCAGAATTCCAGCGACATCAGAAACTCGAAGCTTTATGTCTCGACCCGTGCTGGCAAGGTTGCTAAGTTGTTCTCTTGCATCAATTTCTCTCGTGTGCTTCTTCATTTACCTTTGTAAATTTCGTGTTTCAGCATTTTCAAAGGGATATTGTCCGCGGTGTTGAAGGATATATCGTCACTGGATCCAAGCAAGTTGAAATTGGCAAGTTGGTGAAGCATTTGTTAATTTTTAAAATTTCCACTTTGAATTCAGAGGAAGTGACTTCTTTGTTCTGCAATCTACATCTTTTATTGACTGGGACAAAGTTGTCTGATGATAGCAGGAAATATGGTTCTGAAAATACTTGTACCAGCGGCAACACATTATCAAGGTTATGGACGTGCTCGTGCTCAAATGGAGAAGGAACGCGGGAATCTGTTGAAGGCTCTTGGCACACAGGTTTGTTTAATATTTGTATTACTATAACATAAAATACTAGCAAGTTAGTTTGCTATGTTCTTGAATCTATGGAAGAAAACTTGTAATAGGCAATTTGGTGGCCTGGATGTGGACTATTCACTTTTGGCGTTACATATATATTTTTTCGTCTTTATCCTTAATTATATAGCACGGCATAAAATCATCTGGATGCTATTTTTAATGATTTGACTGTTAGGTTGCCGAGCCACTAAGAGCAATGGTAAGGGAGCTCCTTTGGAAGATGCACGACATCTTCTCAACGTTATGACAGAATGCGACAAGAAGCTGAGGCACAGGTTTTACAATTTAGCAAATCTTAAACTTGAAAGGCTGATTGTATTACAAGTGCATATTGACACCCTCACCTATGACAGGCAATCGAAGTTTCGAAACGCCAAGCAAGAGTGAGGGAAACACTTGGAAATCCTGAGAATGTCGTGAAATTGGAATCTGCGGAAACAAAACTGCAAGATCTAAAGTCAAACACGGCAATGTTGGGGAAAGAAGCTGCTGCAGCAATGATCGCTGTTGAAGCTCAACAACAGAGGTTGACACTCAGAGACTTATTGCTATTGGTAATGCAAATTTCCTTCTATGTAAAATCTTAATTTTATTTTTGGATGTCTAGGAACTTAATTTTAACATTTTGTTCTATTTTATCTTGGACTGAAAGGTTGAAGCTGAACGTACATATCATCAACGAGTCCTACAGATACTTGATCAGCTTGACGCCGAGGTATGAATTGCGCTACTGAATCCTTTCTCTATATTCTTTTGCTGAAACTGAGAAAAAATATTACTACCATAAAATTTCCTCTGTCTTAATAGATGAGATCCGAACGACAACGAATTGAAGCACCTCCCACCCCAAGTGTGGACACTATGCCTCCACCTCCATCATATGAGGAAATTAATGGAGTTTATGCTTCTCAAGGAAGTAATGGGTCAACAGACAGCATGGACTACTTTTTAGGCATGGTTTGTAATTCGGTCCTATGTACCATCGGCATAATGGGATCAACAAGTTACTTTAATCTGTAATGACCTACTAATTGATGTATTATTACAGGTTATGCATACGTATAATGGTGAATCCAACGTGGAGCTTTCGTTGTCAGTTGGTGACTATGTAGTTGTGCGAAAGGTTTGACATATTCGAGATAACAACTTTATATACGTATATGATTTTCGAGCATGTAGTGTAAATCCAACATGGATTCACTTTGTAAAAGCTGATGGGTTTTTGGCAGGTGACGAACAATGGGTGGGCGGAGGGTGAATGCAAGGGGAAAGCGGGTTGGTTCCCTTTCGGATACATTCGAAAGAAGGGAACGTGTTCTCGCGAGCAAAGTAGCAGAAGTTTTCTAACACTTTCTCTACTTGTCGGTGTCTGAGAAGACGATTTGGTACGTGCATCTTCTCTTTTTTTGGTAGCTTCATTGTGCTTGTATTCGTACTCGGAAGTTCGAGAATTTGTCACAGATAGAAGCTTTCTTCTCAATATGTGAATACATTTTACTCTCTGTCCTTATTTTCTGTTTTATTTACTTATTCATATACATATTCCATATTTTGCTATTATTTATTTGTAACATCATTAATTTTCTTTTAAAGTTTTCAATTTCAAAATTTTAATAGTATATTTTTTTAAAATTATTTATTTATTCAAATAAAATAATCAAATGGTGTACCCTAAAATATATCAACTTAGAAGCATATGTAGTATTTTTTTTGGGTAGAATATAAGCATGGAATTTATAATAATAAATATTAAAAGAGTTAATTGCATCATGTATTCTCAATATATGACCTATATTTTAAATGTTTCAATTCCATCCCCAAACTATGACTATCATTCTAAATTAATCCTCAAACTTTTAAACTTTTCAATTTCATCCTCAAATTATGACCTTCATTTCAAACTTTCTGAACATTCCAATTTATCTTAAACTATATTAAAATGACACAAACTTTGGTCTAATACGTGTACGTAAACATTAAGTTTAATTTTATTCAATTTTCATAAATTATTAAAATTGTATAGGCATTAAGTTTAATTTCCTTTAATTTTCATAAATTGTTATTTATTTAACTTTCATTTTATGTTTATATCAATATGAAAATTTGTTGAATTATTTTGTTTTTTTAATATTTATAATTAATCAAAATCTATACAATACAATACATATTTAACTAATATTAATGTGCAATTTTAATATTTTTATCCGTTTTACAAAAACATAGTAAAATCAGCTTCACGCTGACTACAAATATACATGAAGAGTTCTGTCGAAATGAAATGTATATTTTTAAAAACTTTTACGAGCATAATTAGAATACCATAATATCCCTTATTTTTAAAAGAAAACTATTACATTATTATTTTCTAAATATTGCGGCAGTCTAACACTTGGACAGCTAATGAGATGACTGCTCAAAAATAAAGTATGGTCCTGCACAAAGTGAAACAAAAGAATTTTGAATAATTATTTGATATGTTGACGGTGAAGTTTATTAATTTCTTAAGAAACCATCACATATCATTAAGTAATAAAACTCACTAGTTGTTAGGCCAATTTGAACTCCGATTAGCCAAAACAATGGCCAATATAATGAAAACTACAACAGCCTGCATTGGGTTAATTAAGAATATCAGTAAATATCATTGGAAATATAGACAAAAGGAACAAGGCATAGTAAACTCACCAGAAGTGGAGTGTAATTGGACTGACTCGGAATAATGTAAGATTTCCTGTTCAATTTTTTTTTTTTGGAAAATGGTCAAAATTGTCTTTTTAAGAATGAAGATATGAAAATAAAATAAATAAATATAAATGTAGACCTTTCATTCAGGACCCCAGAGTCCCTGCAAGTCTTGAGGATTGAATCTAGTCTGCCCAATGCTTTTTGTGCGTTGGGTTCGTTATGGTCAACCTATAAATATAATAGCCGAAGAAGCAGTTTCGGTGTCGTTAAACCCGGAAAAGAAAACAATACGAATACGGTTGCATTTGATGAAATTATAGTGGTTGGGTATACGGTGGAATATTGTTATCTGAATATCGAGAATAACTACATACCTTAGCTTTCAACATACAAGAAAAATCGTAGAAAGCACCATAGACATCAGCCATCGAGTTTGTCCGGTCGATGACTTTTGCAGTGAGACCTGAAAACATGACCAAAGACAAACTCAAGCCCATATTATTTTTGACTACTACATTCCCTTAACCAAAACTTGAAGATGAAAGATTGAATGATCACAGTTTGACATAAAACGATAAAAACGCCAAGATCAGGTTTTTATGATTCTATTTACGGAAACAAGTTTAAGGAAATCTGTAAAACCTCTTTTAAGAACTGTGCTAAGCTTCAAAGAAAACAATTCCAGAGGCTAGAAGCTTACCGCGCCTCATTTTCACTACACCTCTGAAGACTTCAATGTTGTTATAGCACAAGGCTAGTGTTCCAATAGCCATGACCTAGTAACAGCATGACATGAGGGAAAAAGAGACAAAGATGAGCAAATCAATATTTGATAGATATGGCATGCAACTTGAATGATATATTGAAGACAAACAGATGGAATACAGTCTCAAACCTGAGGAATAGCACAAAACCGAAAGATTGACGGAGTGCGTAAAGCAGACATGTACTTCATGCAATCATCCACATGGATTAAAGTATTAGTGATCATGTCATTCAAGCACTGCACTGCCTTGACTGAGTTTTCCTCGTATTTCAAGTCCTATGGAAAATAATACACATTTATAAGTTACTTGAACAAAATTTAGTTACAGGTTCATCTGGAACTTAGGATAGAAGGTGCAACAGAGGCATACCTCGAGTTTGTTGACATATTTACTCCAAATCTCGCGAGGCCAAAACATTCGCGACTTTGGTATCTCATTAATATCCTCTAAATAATCTCGGATAATATTCGTTTTCTGCCATTTTGTTAGATCCAGAACACACAGTTTTAGAATCATGTCTTCAAACAACTGCCGAAATGCATGCATAAGAAATGTTGCTTCATTCATATATCAGAGCAATACCTGAAGAAATAAACCCATTGAATTGGAGAGAGAATCTGGAGCCAAATCTTCCGCTCCGCAGGCATGGAAAAGTTTGGAAAGACCTAACCCAACAAGTCCTGCTACATAGTGACAATACTCATCATAGTCATCAACCGTTTCAACCTGCAGCAAAACACAAGTTCCCGGGATCGTATAAAAGATAATATATATACATATTTTTGTTCAAGTATATAATATAATATGAAGACATTTAAGAGTTGTATTCTTGCATGCATATTGAACAGATCAAGTCCTGCTACATAGTGGCTAAGCTTGAGAGATCAAGTTCATATATATGGCAAGAGACAATCCAGAAGAGATCAACCAGATTTCAATAATGCAAGCATGACAAACCTCCTTGCAAATGAATTTTGCCATCCCTGCACCCATTCTTTTCGTAATGTCCTCGATAGCCTCCTGATAACTGCAGAATCAGTTGAGAATTATAGATTTTCTCTCTCTCTTTTGGGTCAAAATCCACAAGCAAAAACAACTTGAACCACTTATCTAAGATACCCTAGTTATGAGATAAAGACATAAAATAAATAAAGTAACATATACAAATCAGCATCACATTGAAATCTTCATAAACAAGGAAGATCTAGTAAAAAGTTTAAATAACCGACCCTTTATCGAGCTCCAGAAAAGCAGTAGATACATGATGAAACTGGTCCATAAGAACTTTGTAGTTCTTTGTACCACCTGAAAAAAGAGATAAAGCTATATAAGCAAACAAACCGGGATTCATTAACCAGTAAAGTTTCCTGCAATAAAATTAGCCCGACTCCGGTGCTATATTGCTACTCCACATAAATTCGAGAACCCTCCTTTGAAGGAGAAAAAAATTTCCAGATGCTCACATGAAAAGTGCCAGTCGCTATTGTATATATGACGATAAAAGTCTTTGAGAATAGGAACTTTGACATATGTTGCTACACTAGTGTCATCCTCTGCAAGAAAAAAGAAAAAAAATCAGTGCAGATCAACACTTGAATGTAATTCTCTAAAGAGGTGAGAACAAAACTTAGCTTATTATCGAACAACTCGAAAAGGAAATGCATAATATTAATATCATTGAAGAAAAGGGAAATAAAGGGTTGAAAGACAATGAACAAACCAACAGTATCAAGTGCTCGAAGAACCAAATAGAATATGCAGACCTGCAAAATCACAAACATGGAAAATCAAAGAACCGGATTGAACAACAATTAATCTAATCTTAAGGATTATTAATACCCACAATAAATTTACGAAATCAGACGACACCATATGAAATTCAAAGAGTTTTTGCTTACGGCGTTTCTAAGCTCGGTGTCGAGCTGTTGAATAACGAGGGCGAAACTACGAGAGACTTTGTGAAGCATGGAGAAACAAAAGGCCCAGTGAGGCTCCGACGGGATCTGTTTCTCGGCATGCCTCGAAGCCATTTTCAGCTTCAACAATGGATAGAAATCATCTGGGTGTTTCACAAGCGCTCCCACACTCCCCATAAGTGAAGATTTGTTTTCAAATCAGATCCAAAACAACAGAACGAAATCTGGGTATATGGAGAAACAAATGGTTGTTTGGATTTCTGAGGGGAAATGCTAATCGGGTGTCTTTATAGTTTCATTGAAATGATGCTTGGTTTTGGCCTACTTTGCTACCTAAACAGATTTCAAATTTGATTTTTGGGTCTATTATTGGTTTTCTACCTAATTTTGATGATCCTATTGGCATAAAGCGTGTGGCTCTGAAAGTGTTGAAAATGGGGATTTATTTATACAATATTTTGGACTTTCTAGCTGTCTAGAAATTCAATCTTTTCAGCAATTATACACTTCAGGAATTTAGGGGCGATTGTCACATCAAGTTAAATTGAGTTGACTTAAAAACAATTAAATTAAGTTTATAGGTTATATTTTTATAACTCAAATTTAAATTAAATTTATAAAATTTTAGTAGAGTAAGTCGAATTTTCAAATTTAATAAATTATAACTTGTAGTTAATTTGGATAGAAAAAATTAAAATTTCAAGTTGAAACATGTTTTTCTTACCCCTATCGTGCATACTATTTATAGGTGTATTTGGATTACAATATTAGATGCCTTTTTATTTTATTTTATAAAATTTTAAATTTTTTCGCTTTTTTTTTTTAATTTATTAAGTGGATTCACGGGTTAAAAATAGTTTTATTCTCTTTAGAGATCTTAAGTTGTATAAAATAAAATAAATATATTATTTAAAAAGATTTTATTCATTGATCTAGCGAAAAGAGACATTAAATCTAGTAGGGTGCGTTTGGTTCCCGAAATGTAAGATTACCAGTGGGAATAAAAGATTACTAGGAATAAGATTACTGAGAATGTTGTATTTTGTGTTTGGTTGGTTTAGCAGGAATGTAAGATTATCATGTTTGGTTAAAGGAATAAAAGATTATTGAATATATATTTGATCAAATTGTCCTTATTATATATTTGTATAATATTATAAATTGTAAAATATTTATATATTTTAAAAAAAAAATAAATTCATAATATTTATATAATTTTTTTACAAAATTAAAAATATAAAAAAGATTTAATGAAAAGGTAAAAAAAATTAACCCTGAACTTTATATAAAATTTTAATTATAGATTTTTTTTGTAAATCTAAAATAATTTAAGGATAAATTTGTAATTTAAGGGCATTTTAGTCAAAAACGCCGGTAATGTTATAATACATAAGGGAAGGGAGGTAATGACATTCTGGGTAATATACTCCAAAAATCTACTATTGGTAATAAAACATTACCGGAAATGAGATTTCCGGCCAACCAAACATGGGAATGTGGGATTCACATCCCATAGGAATCCACAATCCTTGAACCAAACACCCGTTAAAAATTCAAATCCTGTCATAATTAATAAAATAAATTGAATTGGAGCAAAATAATGTTCAATCTAGATTAATCAATCTTAAAGACAAAATTATTATAGATATAAAAGAAAATTAATGATAATAAATGTAATATATATATTTTATAATCTTTTGATATATTAAACACATATATATATATTAATTAATTAATTAATTAATTAAATATAGATCATTATACCAAATATATATATATATATATACACAAAACTTTATCTTTGAACTTTTTTTCTTAATATATATTAATACCAAATTTAATAATTTTCTTAATTTGATCCGCGTATTAAGAATTTCATTGTGACGTGACATTAAAATTAAGAATAATTTATATACTTCTAAAATTTTAAGTGATAATGTTGTATAATTTAATAAAATCACGTCATCACACCGTAATAAAATCCAAGTTTGAAAGAGGGACAAATTAAAATTTTTATCAAATTCCGGGACTATTGTACACTAAAAATTAAAGGAGTAAATATCATTTTATCCCTTTTATTTTTTATTTTTTTAATAGCTTGAATTGATTGTAGAGTAGTATATATTTTTAAAAAATAATTAATTAAAAATATACATATTATTTAAATATAATTACTCAAACTCAAAACTCAAAACTTAAAACTTAAAGGGGGGATAACATTAATTATCCAAACAAGCCCTAATAGTATTCAAGCTTGTTTCATATGTATAAGTGTCATTAGCAATATAATACTGTAAACTTTTATTTTTTTCATTGAATTTAATATATTAAATTTTTTATCACTCCACCATTAAATAGTTAACAGTATTAAAATAACTTTATTTAAAAAAAATAAAATTTTAATCAAAATGATGTCGTTTTATATCTATATAACAACTAATTTATAATGTCGCCGTTAATGAGTAAAAGACTAAATGATAAAAAAATCAATACATTAAATTTAACGAGAAAATTAAAAAGATTTAAAGTAAAATAAATGAAATAATAGATAGTAAAGTTACAAATTTATAATTTACCCTTTACTAAATGAATTGGTACTCTCAGTAATGTGACGTTTAACTACTAAATTGATTGGCAGTTTGACACTTACATTGCCCTTCGAACAATGCAAACTTTCTTTAATTTAACATATTAAATTATTTTCAAAATAAAAAATGATCACGTGCGATAATTTTAATATATAATTAAAAAAATATTATTAATTTTGTTATTATTTAAATAATAAAATTAATAAAAATTATCAGAAATATTATTATTTCTACAGGTGTTGTTATTATTGGGCGTTTTATCGGGTTTGGTAATATATTCGATAGAAAAAAATAATATTTTAGGTATCTCTTTACCAGATATATTACCAAACTCGATAAAAAATTCAATAATATTTTAAGTAATTTTTATTAATTTTATTATTTAAATAATAACAAAACCGATAATACATTTTTTTAGTTATATATTAAGAATATCACAGTATAAAACTTCCCTTGGAAATAGTTGGTTGGTAAATACTAGAAATAGACTGCTCTGTTATTTTCTATTTTTATTTTAAATTTATTAGTATCTTTATAAATACATAAATGTTTCATTAAATTAACATAAAATTTGTTGATATTAAAATACTTTGGCAATATTTAGTTGGCCAGTACAATTAGATGGACCTTTTTTACTTTTTTTATATATCTTTATGGATATACGTCAGTTTCTTCTATTAATATTAAAATATTAAAAATTATGAACATTCTTTTATTAATATCATATTTTATATTAGATACTATATAAGTATATATTGAATTTTTAATTTAGTTTATTTTATTTATAACATTAATATTTGAATTTCCAGCTTTATGCAATAAATAGAGTAAAAATATACAAATGGTCTCCGATTATTTGATGTTATTTTGTTAAGGTTTTTTAATTATTAGAAGTTATATAATAGTTTGTCTATAATAAGATAATGTTTTATTTATTTATTTATTTATACATGCATTATATTTTATCTTTATTTTAATTTTTTGATAAGTTTTTTTATAATAAGACTGCATATGAAAACTATTCAACTATGTATTTATTTATTTATACATGCATTGTCTTTTATCTTTATTTTAATTTTGACTGCTGGAGGTCTTCCACGGAAGCTGCTCACAACCATGCGTTGGGGGTAGCCTATTACCCAACCTCTCCTTATCCCATTGCATATAGGAATAGGGTTTTGTTGTTGTTGTTTATTTAGTCTCCAACTCATGTGGACTCGGGACTTTATCATCATCACCCTACCAAAAAATAGCTCCACCAATCTCCTCGTTAGTAACCTCCCTAACAAGAATCTCACTAACATTCAGAGGCAAAGAATACTGAAGCAGGTCCCTAAGGACCTCAACCTCACAGCCTTTAACCCCGCGGTCAAACATACCAAACTGATTAGTAAAAAAGTTGACAACTTCCATAATCATGTCATCAAAATACTCCGGCTTGTTACGCACTGCCAATCACCAGCATATGTTTTAGGTTGTTGCAGCTTATATGATGATTGAAGCTTTAAACAAGAAAGGTTACAATGCATTTGCCATCTCCATTCCATCGTTTAATGAGCTGCTGAACGTGCTAGCAATTGCTGGTCCAGTGTAACTTTGATGTCAAAGGTTTACATTCAACTTGAGTTAATAACAATTTCTTGTACTCCACGACCATGTGCTATCGTCTGACACACTTTGATGTTCTTTTAGATAGTTTTCTACTCTCTCCTCTCATATATTTTGCCACATCCATGGGAACACACGTTGTTGCTGCTCATCAGGTTAGATTTACTCACACTTGTGATTTTAATGTTTCATTGTTGAAGTCAGTAACCATTCACTGTTTCACATCAGATCATGCTTCAAATATGTGGCATGTGCACTGTTTGGGGTGAGCCTCTATCTCAAACCTCACAGTCATTTATGCCTGAGTTGATATATGGAGTCAATCGATATTTGCCAAAGGTTTGTTACGTCAATTTTAATTTTATGCCGACTGCCTCTTCCCTGCCTCAACAGCATTAATATGTAGCATTGTGTATGTAATGCAGCATCTTTCATCTTGGATGCTGTCCCGTAACATGTGAATTTTGTCATGTCAAACAGGCTAGAATGCTGCTAGAATCACTTGTCACTATTGGTGCTACACTTGGACTGGTATTAGGGATTATTGGGACGGCAGTTCCTTGTCTTTTCCCCAACATATTTACACATGATATAAAGGTCATACAAGAGGTTTGTTCTTGTTTCTCTCCAACCTTCCCGTTTCCACCACTTCACCTGTTACTGCAGTAGAATAATCCCAACTTCACGTGTTAACAGCTTTTTTGAGTGCTAGAGGATTTGGCTTGGCAGGCTGCTGGTTTGCACTTGTGGGATTTCATTGGGTAAGACTAACCTCTCTTATCATTTGCATCTGGCCACTGATATCTGATAATTTGAAAAGCTGAAATTTGCATATTTTCAGGCTCGGTTCTCCCTCGCCCTCCAACGTCTTCTTCCTCCAAATGGCATCCTGTACTCCGAAGATCTGACACGATTTGAGGTGAAGAAGACGAGAGCATCTTTGTTTTGGAATCAATTGGTGCATATGCCGTTCACTGCTTTCACATCCCATACATCTTTCTGTGCATATTTGATTTGCTGCTAGCAAAGATTTCTTATTTCTTTTCATAGAAATGGCCCAAAAGTAGAATAGTGATGTTCTTCCTATGTGTATTACTTTTATATAACAATGATTTTTGTTTTAACAGTGAAGCCCTACTTAATGCATCACCATGTTGAATTATGTCATGTATATTTCTAAATTACGTGTACTAAATTGAAAATTTTAATATAGTTCAGTGGCCATGCCTGCCATTATCCATAGGTACAACTGTAGTTTTCAGAAACATGGAGAGGTCTATTTGCAAGGAAAATTGCAATTCTCAAACATGGTAAGAGACGGACAACCTGGGGAAAGCACAGCACAAAGCTTTCAGCTATGGGGAGTTTAGATTTATGGTGAAATTTTTCGATTTCACCCGAAAATTATAAGATAATTATCTCTATATATTTAAAAATAATTGTAATGTTATTCATCTCTCTATATTTTTTCAATTAGGTCACTGTTTTAGATTTATATCGAATCGGTTGTAAATTTTTATCTCAAATCGGGTTGAGTAAAGTTTTACTAAACTCGAATTATATCAAATAAAAATATAATACTCAACTCGAATTCAAGTCTATTATAACTCCTTCCTAACTTAACCATGCTCATTCCTAATTCACATGTTAATTATTTAATAAAATCTATAATCATATTCGATTAAATATAATTTTTTGAACCAAGTTATAGACGTGATATATCACTTTAAAATATAAAATTTATTTTTTAAATTATTTTTACATTTTAATATTTTTAAACATTAAAAAAATTTCTCAAATTTTCTTATATAAAAACTATTTATTAATTTTAAAATATAAAGACCAAAAATTACATTTTGCGCAATAATTGTATCTAATATTTTTTATTCGATTGTACCCTGGGAACCAGACCTATTTACCCCAACAGAAACGTCGTCGTAAAAGCTCCAAGTTAGGGAAAACCACTGTACAAACAATAATAAAATTCCTAGAATTCCAGGCTCGGATCTTAAAATCAGAATTTTCATAGAGGGAGAGGATCCAAATATCTCCGTTTTCTTCTTCATTTAAACCCAAATACAATTTCTTCTCATTTTTTGTTCTTAATTTTAGATGCCGGATCAGATCTGAGGTAATTTCATTTCATATCTTTTGTTCGAATTTCAAATCGGATTCTCCCTGTTTGGTTACGCGGATCCTTAATTTCTAGACGTTGAAATTTGATTTGGTTTGATTTTGTGGAGGGAATCAAGAGATTGAGATACAGAAACAAAATGTTGACGAAGTTCGAGACGAAGAGTAATAGAGTGAAGGGATTAAGTTTCCACACTAAGAGGCCATGGATCTTAGCTAGTCTCCACAGTGGCGTTATCCAGTTATGGGACTATCGAATGGGGACTTTGATTGATCGGTTCGACGAACATGACGGCCCTGTTCGCGGTGTCCATTTTCACATGTCTCAGCCTTTGTTTGTCTCTGGAGGTTCGGATTTCTTTTCTTTTTGCCTCAATTTTATCTCTGCTCAATGGATCTTGTTGATTAATTTTGATGATCTATGGATTTGGGTGTCAAATTTTGGATTTTGGTTATTGATTGGGATGTGTTAGCTTAGATTCCGGAGCTCTTTTATTCTTGTAACTGTATGGCATTTGAGAAATCCAATGCGAATGATATTTTGCTGGAAGTAGGTTCATTATATAGATTTTATGTAGTTGGATTTTGCTTAGAACTTTGTCTCCCTGATGTGGACATCTGAGTCAAGGCCAGTAGAAATTAAAGACCTGGCTCTGTACCCTTAATGCAAGAGCATTCTCCAATGCAACTGTAAGAATTTGGGGTCAAGATCTGCTAACTTGTTTTTAAGGTTGTAAGCTTACAACAATATCCCTCGAAAAGAGTCTGATTTGCAAAATATAAGACTAGATGTTCCTTAAGATACAAGCAGCTTGTCAAGTCCTCAAAATTTCAGCCCAAAACTACCTTCCCTTTAGGATAGCAACCGTGTCTCATCTCTCATTGGCTTCCTTGCCACTCCCTTCTTTGCCTTTCCACATGGATGCAGTGTAAAGCTAGTTGAACTTATTGATCATTCTACCTGGATTAATTGAAGTCTCTTAACTGCCCAACTGCTAGTACAGCCTGTGATATCTTTTATAAGATGGTCACAATCTTTATAACAAAACCATGATTTGTGGAATGGATATTTTTTGGTTTGGTTGTTTGATGCCTTTTGTAGGGCAAATTACTATAAATAAGGGTTTTAGATGAATATTCTTTTATATAAAGCTTGAAGAAAGACAAGTGGTAAATGGCTTTAAATATTTGAGCATATATACATTTAGAATTTGTAGATACAGACAGTTTGGAATGTAGAGAATTTCATATCAACTTATTTACAATTTTTATGAGATTCATGTTTCACTTCTATTAGTGATTATATCATTAGAATTAAGGAATCATAAATAGATAGATTCAATATTATATTTGCAATTGCCTAGAATTGATCAACTTGGGCAACGGAAGTCTGAATTCGAAAATGGCTCAAAATTTTTCATTTTGTGCTATGATTTTCTGTTACAAAGCGTAGTTGCTTGTGCCATTCAAATTATACTATTTTATTTTTCAGGAGATGACTACAAGATAAAGGTCTGGAACTACAAGTTGCATAGATGTCTTTTCACCCTTCTTGGACATCTTGATTATATTCGTACTGTTCAATTTTATCATGAGCATCCATGGATTGTGAGTGCCAGTGATGATCAAACTATTCGCATATGGAACTGGCAGTCTCGAACTTGCATCTCTGTGTTGACTGGTCATAATCATTATGTTATGTGCGCCTCATTCCATCCTAAAGAAGACCTTGTTGTGTCTGCCTCCCTTGACCAGACTGTTCGAGTTTGGGATATTGGTTCCTTGAAAAAGAAGGTTGCCTCCCCAGCAGATGATATTTTACGGTTGAGCCAGATGAACACCGATCTTTTTGGTGGTGTTGATGCTGTTGTGAAGTATGTGTTGGAAGGTCATGACCGAGGAGTAAATTGGGCCGCTTTTCATCCAACCTTACCTTTGATAGTCTCTGGTGCTGATGACCGCCAAGTGAAATTGTGGCGTATGAATGGTAAGTACGAGAGCTGCGCATTTTTTAGATACACTGATTAAAGTTTTTGTATGCATTCTTATTTACCAATTTAAATCTTCATAAGCACTTACACCCCCCCCCAAGTTGGATATAATGGCCCTTGGTATTTGATCCCGCTACCTCAGCTTCTCCATTTTATTTTATGATTTTGGCTGTGTATATACAACCCGAAAAAAGTAGGTGGATAAATTTTGTGCAGCATGGAATTTAGAGTCTCGAATTGTTGTGGGGTTGAGTAAATTGTTTTTTTTTTTCAGATACGAAGGCTTGGGAAGTAGATACCTTGAGAGGACACATGAATAACGTGTCATGTGTTATGTTCCATGCCAAACAGGACATCATTGTGTCTAATTCTGAGGATAAAAGTATTCGTGTGTGGGATGCAACAAAGCGAACTGGACTTCAAACTTTCCGTCGAGAACATGACAGGTTCTGGATTCTTGCAGCTCATCCTGAGATCAATCTTTTGGCAGCTGGACATGACAGTGGCATGATTGTATTTAAGCTAGAGAGAGAACGACCTGCTTTTGCAGTAAGTGGGGATTCTCTGTTTTATGCCAAGGACCGATTTTTAAGGTATTATGACTTTACTACTCAAAGAGAGACACAAGTAGTTCCAATTCGACGGCCTGGTTCTACCAGCCTGAATCAATCTCCAAGAACTCTTTCTTATAGTCCTACAGAAAATGCTGTTCTTATCTGCTCAGATGTTGATGGAGGAACTTATGAGTTGTATTTGATACCAAAAGACAGCATTGGTCGGAGTGACTTACAGGAGGCAAAGAAAGGTCCTGGTAATTCTGCTATATTTGTGGCTCGGAACCGGTTTGCTGTACTTGAGAAAAGCAACAATCAAGTCTTAATCAAGAATCTTAAAAATGAGGTTGTTAAAAAGAGTGGCCTTCCAGTGCCTACGGACGCAATATTTTATGCTGGAACAGGTAATTTGTTGTGTAGATCAGATGATAGAGTGGCTGTCTTTGATCTGCAACAGAGGCTTGTTATTGGTGATCTACAAACTCCTTTTGTGAAGTATGTTGTTTGGTCTAATGACATGGAGAGTGTTGCTTTGCTGAGCAAGCATTCCATTATAATTACTAACAAGAAGCTTGTTCACCAGTGCACTTTTCATGAGACAATACGTGTTAAGAGTGGGGCTTGGGATGAAAATGGTGTTTTCATTTACACCACTCTAAATCATATAAAATACTGCCTTCCCAACGGAGATAGTGGAATAATTCGAACCCTCGATGTTCCAATATACATAACCAAGGTTTCCGGATATACAATCTTTTGCCTGGATCGTGATGGAAAGAATAAGACTCTGGTCATTGATGCCACAGAATACATTTTCAAGCTCTCTTTACTTCGGAAGAGGTATGATCATGTTATGAGCATGATAAGAAACTCCCAGCTTTGCGGTGAGGCTGTGATTGCTTATCTTCAACAGAAGGGGTTCCCTGAAGTGGCTCTCCATTTTGTCAAAGATGAGAGAACCCGGTTTAACTTGGCTCTGGAGAGTGGGAATATCCAAATTGCTGTTGCATCAGCTAAGGAGATTGATGACAAAGATCATTGGTATAGGTTGGGTGTGGAAGCCCTTCGCCAAGGCAATGCAGGTATAGTGGAATATGCCTACCAGAGGACAAAGAACTTTGAGAGGTTGTCTTTTCTTTATCTCATAAATGGTAATCTGGATAAGCTGTCCAAGATGCTGAAAATCGCGGAAGTCAAGAATGATGTTATGGGCCAGTTTCACAATGCTTTATATCTCGGTGATGTCCAAGAACGTGTAAAGATCTTGGAGAATGCTGGTCATCTGCCTCTTGCTTATGTTACAGCATCAGTCCATGGGCTGCATGATGTGGCCGAAAGGTTAGCTGCTGAGTTGGGAGATGATGTCCCTTCTTTGCCAGAAGGGAAAAAACCTTCCTTATTAATGCCTCCAGCACCAGTTATTTGTGGTGGTGATTGGCCCCTGTTGAGAGTAATGAAAGGCATATTTGATGGTGGATTTGATAATATTGGTAGGGGCGCTGCAGGTGATGAGGAGGATGGTGCAGAAGGTGATTGGGGTGAAGATCTTGATATAGTGGATGTTGATGGCTTACAGAATGGAGATGTTACTGCAATTTTGGAAGACGGGGAAGTGGGTGAAGAAAATGAAGAGGGTGGATGGGACCTCGAAGACTTGGAACTACCCCCTGAGGTACAGACACCAAAGGTTTCTTCCAATGCTCGTTCTTCTGTTTTCGTGGCTCCGTCCCCTGGTATGCCTGTGAGTCAAATTTGGACACATAGATCGTCACTTGCTGCAGATCATGCAGCTGCTGGCAATTTTGATACATCTATGCATTTGCTGAGAAGGCAACTTGGAATAAAAAACTTTGCTCCTTTAAAATCCATGTTTCTCGATCTCTACACTGGCAGCCATAGCTATCTTTGGGCATCTGCATCTGCTCCAGTGGTGAGCTTGGCGGTCGAGAGGGGATGGAATGAGTCTGCTAGTCCTAATGTCAGGGGTCCACCAGCCCTAGTATTCAATTTTTCTCAGCTGGATGAAAAGTTGAAGGCTGGATACAAGTCCACAACAGCTGGAAAATTTACCGATGCTCTTCGGCTTTTCCTCTGCATTCTTTATACAATTCCATTAGTTGTCGTGGAGTCAAGGAGGGAAGTTGATGAAGTCAAAGAGTTAATTATCATCGCCAAGGAGTATGTTCTTGGTCTGCAGATGGAGCTTAAGCGTAGAGAGTTGAAAGACAATCTGGTACGCCAACAGGAGCTTGCTGCCTACTTCACCCACTGCAACCTTCAATTGCCTCATCTCAGACTTGCTCTGCTAAACGCAATGACAGTCTGCTACAAGGCAAAGAACCTGGCTACGGCAGCTAACTTCGCCAGGCGTCTTCTAGAAACAAACCCCACAAACGAGAGCCATTCAAAGACGGCAAGGCAAGTACTTCAGGCTGCCGAGAGGAATATGACCGATGCGTCCCAGTTGAACTATGATTTCAGGAACCCATTTGTCCCATGTGGAGCAACCTATGTTCCTATTTACCGAGGACAGAAGGATGTATCTTGCCCTTACTGTACCACTCGCTTCGTGCCTACCCAGGAAGGACAGTTGTGTACGGTCTGTGATCTCGCCATCGTTGGAGCTGATGCTTCAGGACTTCTCTGTTCTCCATCGCAAATCCGATGACCGGGCTGGCATTGATCGAGGCTTGTTCCTTCAATATTGCTCGTCATTTGAGCAGCCGAATCAATCACGACGACTGATTCCCATCTGCAGGTAATTTGATATCGACTTCATTTATTCGCACCGTCTACTTTTATTTTTGCCTTTTGTTTTCCATTATAATGTTCAGATGTAAAAAACAATTTTGGGAATTTTGGATTTTTCTTCTTTCATGGACAACATAATCGGGAGACAAAACCTTTCCTAGGAGAATTGACCGTACTATTTGCCCACTTTTTTGGCAATTTTGAGCTCATCCAAACATCAGCTGTCACAATTCAGTTCATTTTGCCATTTTCAAGATTGTTTTATTATATAATTTTAAATTTTAACTTATAAAAAGAAATATAAAGGGTCGTTCTTATCTATTTTACCATTTATGAAAATTAATTCTAATAATGATATAAATATTATTTTAAACTATAACTTTGTCATGGTTCACAAAAAGTACATAATTTTATAATTGTTTATTTAGAAAAAAAATTGTTTACCCTCATTTTGCCACCATTATTTATGTTTTCCTTTTTATTTGGATAAATACGTGACAGTCCAACGTAGCTTGCTGCTAGAAATGGTGGTGTGCTAAAGAAACAAAAGGAAATAGAAAGAAATGGTGACGTGTGTACAGTTATCTTCAGACATTTTCACATGGGTTATATTTCACTTTACTTTTTTTCCTTCATTATTTTTTATGTTTATTCTATAAATATTAACCTAATTTTCATTTTCTTAAAAGTTATACATTTACAAGTACATTCCTTTTTAAATAAAATTATATCTAATGTTTTATAAAAATTTACATATTTGCAAAAGTTAATCCAAAATGTATTTTTAAAAAATATTACTTTAAACCTATACAGAGTTTGGCATGAACTTTAACGATAAAATTAAACAACTTTACATAAATAATTCAGCTTCTTGATTTTTATAAAGTAAGATGATTAAATTCTCATAAATCAAAACAGAAAGGCTGGTATTTGCAATATCAGTGAAGTAGAAGAACTAGATAAAAATAAATAAATCATTTCATTCATTAAATTATCTTCAGTTTCATTGAAAAAGATACTCTATTATCTCAATATATTCCTAGCATTTTGATCTTTTATAATTACATTTCAGTAATTTAAATGAAATAGAATATATATATATATATATAGTTTTACACATATTTAGGATCGTTGAATTAGTAAAAAGATGACTGAAATTTATATTAGGAAATCATAATATATTCACTAAAAAATGGAGTCAATCACAATCATTTATTTTCGATCATCTAATGGTATAAAATTTATGTAAAACTAAAGAGTTTTGCATTGTGCGAGTGGAACCTAATCCATATATCCACTCACACAATATAAAACTCTTTAATTTTACATATATTTTATACCATTAGATGAGTGAAAATAGATAACTAAGATTTATTATTATTTTTATATATAAAAGGAAATCCCATTAATGGTACCAATCTATCTCTTAGATGGTACAAGCATATAGGTAAAAAATTTGGAGGGGCAGTGAAGGGGGGATGTAGCCATAATTTGAGGTCATATATGGTGGGATGGGATGTAGAGGCGGGTTTTTGGGGTTGCAAGCACATTTCCACAGGTGAAATATGTCAGCTCACTTCTTTAATATTTGCCCCCCGCCCCACTCTTCTTTATATGTATACATGAGAGACTGATTCCATAGCATATGGAGCATGGACCTTCTCCTTCTCCTTCTCCTTCTTCTTTGTCGATTTCTAGTACGTGCCTACGTGGTAATCATAAAGATGCTAACATGTTAGATTTTCGGTCAATCCAATTCAAGAAATTTATTTTTTTCAGTTGAATCTAATTCAACTTAAATTAAGATATCACATTCGATTCAAATATTGATTTAAATTTTGGGTGAAAACTCAAATGTGACTTGATCTAATATCAATATAGATTTTTTATTTTGAAAAATAGGAACACAATTGAAAAAATCATAGAGAAATGAATATTATAGTAATTATCCTTAGATATATATAGAAGAAAATTATACTATTATTCTAGGTCGAGTTAAATTGGAAATTGTTCACCTAAAATCCAACTCGACCTCATCTTTTACAACACTGGCCCAACCCAATCCTAATATTTTTTAATGATCATGTAGTGTCGGGTTGAGTAGAAACTGTCAGATTCAAATCAAATTATCATCCCTAAATAACCATACAAATTTTAATTATATTTAAATCAAATCATATTAGACTCTTAAACTGATGATAAAATTCACTTAGTACTGTTTTCAAAGCTATGGGAGCATATGGACCATTCCTTTCAAGTATTTTATTTATTACCTTTTTGATATTAGATAGTTACATAAATTTTAATTATATACATATTTAAATTAAATTAAATTGAAGCTTATCTTTTCTTTCATTCATAATATTAAAATTAAAGATTTAAACCATCTAACAACTTGTTTACCTAGATTGACTTACATCTTTTATGGTACAGATTTTAATATTCTTAAACGTATCTTCGACGGCAGCGAAACCACTATTTCGTGAATAAAATTACGTTTTTGGATTGTGATTTAAAACCCCGGTGATGATCCTATGATGGCCTTTAAAACATTACTGTGATTCCATTTCTTATCTCTTGAGTTCTGCATATGATAAGAAATGAAATCTAAATAAAGATATTTCCCCAGAAAAATTATGAGCCATGAACTCAGTCTAATTAATCCAAATAGACAAAGCTCATCAATATAAACCACAACCCATCATTTCCACCACTTACCTACACCTTGCCACTTCAGTGTAGCATACATACATACATACATACATCTATATTTGTATATATAAGAACGCAAGAGAAGGAGAAGGAGGAGGAGCTGAAACAAGGGATGATGATGACGATGATGTCGAGTACTAGTACTAGGCAAGGTGGACTTGGGGGCACAAGGTGTCAAGATTGTGGGAACATAGCCAAGAAAGATTGTGCTTACATGAGTTGCCGGACTTGTTGCCGGAGCAAAGGATTCGAGTGCCAAACACGCATAAAGAGCACTTGGGTTCCGGTATACCGGAGGCGAATCCGCCATCATCATCAGCAACAACGAAACCCTAAAAGACTTAGAGAAAACAATCCTTCTTCAGGTGAAACCCTAACCCACCACCAGCTTGCCTTTTTACAGCAACCCTAGCAGCTTTCTACTTTGGGGAAGTGAAGTGCATGAAGTCATGAACTATTCATTGGTGTAGGTTGATTTGATTTGTTTCCTTTAGGGTTGGAAATGGTGGATTTTCCAGCCGAAGTGACATCGCCGGTGACATTTCGATGTGTTCGAGTGAGCTCCATCGAAGACATGGCCGACCAGTACGCGTATCGAACGGCGGTGATGATTGGAGGACATGTTTTCAAGGGTGTTCTCTATGATCAAGGACCGGATCGTGGCCATTACTCGCTCGGAGAATGCTCCTCAAGAGAGACTCCTCTTCAGCCGCCGTGGTTGCAGCAGCCGAATCAAATCGATTCCGCCGGCGATCTAACAATGGCTACAACTAACACCACGACTACTGTTCTTCCTCCCCCTTATGCATCTCCTTTTACTGCTTTCGTTTCACCTGGCTGGTACGCCATTTTTCCTCCACCCAAAATCTTAAGCAAAAAACCCTTCTTCTCTTCCACTTTCAACCATTGCAGCTCATTGAGGTTGCATTATCTGATATATTCAACCTAAAACCCAAAGAAAAAAAAAGTAATTAAATGATTTAAAATTCTATATAATCTTGTTTTGAAACCCCAAAACCTGCAATCATTTGATCGTCTGTAATATATTAAAGATTGGGGTTTAGCTGTTTTGTCTTCTTCTTCACTTATTTTATTCATATTTTCACGTGAACTTGAGTTTGAATCTGCATTTTGATATCTTTGTTGATTTGATTATCAACTCCACTGCCCACTTTTTCCCAGATTTCCCGTTTCTTTGCTGCTTTAGGCACCACCCTACCGCCTAACAAAAACAAAACTAAAGCATTTGTTAACATGCTTAAGATGATCAGCTTACATATATATAATATTCTTAAGGTTCTGTGTTGTTTAAATCTCCCAATGCATAGGAATCAAAATTAGGGTAACTGACAATGTTCGTTGAGGGGTGATAAGGAATTTGATATTAACAACACCATTCAAGTTTATTTCTTGAAATATGATCGATTAACTATTTGCAAGAACTCGATGTTTGCTAAGTTTCATTTTTAAGAAATTGTGTAATGTTTCTTTAAGTTTATCTCCATCTCCATGCATTTGTGCTCAAACTTTCTGAGATCTTTCCTATGTGTAATGTGTGTTTGTGTGTAATAATATATATATATATATATATATAGTATAAAACCTATCCATTACTAGTCGGTTCAGTAAGATAAGAGATTTGAACGTTGACATTGTAAATGAAATAATAGATTTTTTTGTACATAAAAGTTTAGTGAAGAGATGGTTTCTTTAGTCCAGGGCATACTTAAGACTCAGTTGAGATTTACATAGGACTTTACAGATTACTCACTTAAAGTGACGGTGGTAAGATTCGAACTTGGTCTTACACGCTGAAATTCCTAAATTTCAACCACTTGTGCCAACACACGTTGATAATGAAACAATAGATTTTTACAGAGTTTGATATAGTTAAATCAATATAAAATTTTAGTTAGATACGATATATTTTTAATTAAATTGATAAAAAAGATTATGATATAGAATCATCTTTATATAGATTTTTAAATGATAAATGACATTAATTTGAAAGCAATATTATACAAGCTTTGATTCTTTATGGTAAAGACACAGTCACACTAACTCTATGTATGAAAACGTTGATGCCGCCACCAACATCTCTTAGATCGAATCTCGATTCGATGTTATTTAAGTAATATCTCGATTCGAATTTTATAGATGAAGAATTAAATTTAGAAGAGTTTTATGCTTTAATTTAAAGCTTCAATCATGTTACACTCTACATATTATCGAAACTCATGTGATTACAAGATAACGTAAGATTCGAGCCAAAAGAAAAATTGTTAACACTTGAAGAAAACAATATAGAAAATTAAAAGTGGAATGCATCTAGAATCTAAGTAATTCCATCGTAAAGTTTAACATATGGGGTGGATTCCTCCCTATATTCTATTTCTAGGATGTCTTTCCTTTTATAGTTCGAAAGGTGGACGAAATAATTATAAAACAAAACTTGTGGACGAACCATACATTTTGGTGCATGACCTTAATTAATTAAGGAACCTCTAGTGCTAATTAAATACTCATTGATTGAACCAATTCATCTAATAATAAAATACTAAATCTCTTAAGCAAGATAAAAAATTTAACGACGGTATTGTGAATTGGAACGATTGCCCCTCCTAAATGAATGTATGCAATAGTCAATCCAAATTAATCAGTCAATAAATCAAATAATGACTCAAAAAATTTATCTTTCAAAATAAATTCCGACTCGATTTAATTTCGTACGTAAGCAAAACCCTTTGCTTTCTAGAACCGGGGTCATAACAGTAAAAAAAAAAAGAGTTACCAGGGAAGTAAAAATTTATTATTGATCATTTTATAATAAATTGATAAAATTTAATAATTATTTTATAACAGTTTTTAATGATAATTTTATAACAATTTGATGAAGTTGGTCATTTTACAACTTTTAAAATTTTAATTTGATCAGAATAATTATTTTAATATAATTTAATAATCTCTAATATACTTTATTTGAATTGTAGCTCAAAGTGGTTGTTTAAATGGATATATCAACTTTTAGTCCCTAAACTTATTTTTTTAATTTAATCCCTTTTTTATCAACATCAGATTTTTCTATTTTTAATTTATTTTATGACACAACAAGATTTCAACTTTCCAACTATCAGAAAAAAAGTCAATATATCTCTCTTGTAACTCTCATTAGTTGATATATTAAGTAATTCTTTAACTAAAATTTATTATTATAAATTACTAACTCACATATTGTACATGAAAAAATATAAAATTAAAATTAGCGCAAATTTAATTTTAAAATTATGTGGACATATCATTATTTAATTTATTGATGATATACACAATTAGAAATTGTTATTGTATCAAATATTAATCCTTAAAAATAGATAAATAAGGTTAACGAAATAAATAATATTTTTTTAAAAAAAATAATGATGTTAGACCTCTTGATTAAAAGGGGAAAAAATACTTTTTAGCTCCTCTAAAAAACTATAAATTCAATTGAAGTGTTTTAAACTCTTAATTAAGTGTAAACATTTTAATTTTAGTCGCTTTTAAAAATTAATAATTCAATTTAACCATTTTGAATAGAAAATATCTAATTTATCTCCAAACTTTTATAATTCAACCTCCACCCAACCAATTTTATTCTATATCTTTACTATTCAATTTTTTATTTGAATTTAAAAAATATATTTTTATTTGTATTTATCCCCTAAAAGTAGCTCAAGGTCATTGATGGCAAATGGTTAAAACCTGCAGATTCTGGTAACCACTGCTTTGATGTACAATCCACTGGTTATGCTTATTTAATCCTCCCCTTGATTCTGCAGGGTTTCACGGGCAAAGGCTTTTTTGATTTATTATTTCATCCGAATCTGTACAATTTAATTTATTTATTAAAAAACATACATCCCCATTAAAATTTTGATATTTAAATATATTTTTAAATTAAAAGCATTTTCTTTCATCAGTATTAATCTTTGATTTATTGATCCACTAATATTGTTTGTGTCTATAAATATAATTTTCTCCATTTATAATATATAATTTAAATATTTAATTTATTCAAAATACTAAACGTTTTATCTCATTAAACTAACTGATAATTAGTAAAAAAATATTGTAAATAAATTTATATACTAAAAGTATATAAATTATATGTATAAGTTTATGAATTCTATTTTTAAAAATGGTTCCATTTAATTAACAATTAAAGTGTAGAAATTTATAGGGAAACATATATTTAATTTATTTTTTAATAATATATTGTCCAGTCCATGGGCTTATGATTTAGTGATGCCTAATAATGCTGTCTTTTCGTCTCGTTTTAGTTGAGAATTAATGGGCTATGAGAAAAGCCTATCTTCCACTTCAAAATTACACGCCCTGCCCCGTCAGTAGTCCTGTAAATGAACTGAACGTTCAACGAACCGTTCATGAATCGTGAGGTGGGAAGTTCGTTTATGTTCGTTTATTTATTAAATGAACAAACACGAGCAAGATTTTGCGTTCGTTTAATTAAATGAACGAACACGAACAAAGGGCACGTTCGTTCATTTACGTTCGTGAACGTTCGATTATATGCTCGTTTATGTTCGTTCATTTATGTTCAAACAGAGGGCAAGTTGAATATGTTACGAAGATTATTGAAGTTGTTTGGATTTCAAGAAGATTGTTTTGTTAAACAAATTAACTTTAAGACTTTATTATGTTCATATAGCTTATTTATGATTTATGTATGTTTTTGTCGTATTCGAACAAATTAACTCTAAAGTTACAGGTTATATTAATGAATTTTAAGTTGTTATTCTTGTTGTTTACTTTTTTTTTACATTCATTTGTTGTGTTTGAATAAGTTTGTTTTTTGTATTTGTGTTGTTCGTTTATGTTCGTTCATTTGTGTTCGTTTATCATTTAAATAAACGAACATGAACAACTATATTCCTTAATGAACGAACATGAACAAAAAATTTTGTTTATTTATGTTCGTGTTCGTTTATGTTCGTTTATTTATTAAATGAACGAACATGAACATACCTCCGTTCGTGTGCGTTAAGTTCGTTTACAGTCATACCCGTCAGCTCACTAAATCATAATTCGTATTGGTCTAATTGCCAATGCCAATTTCATCGCTCTTTTTAACTTCCAATAAGAATACAAATGAATATCATTCAATTTTTTAATTAAATTAATATCATCCAATAAGGGACACATATCATCATTTCCATTAGTGGAAAAATAAATATAAATACATTGAGTATAATATAAATTGTAAAATGCTAAAAGAATATATTTTAACACAATCCAGAGACATGAAACACACAAAGCTTAATGTAAAAAACACACATCAAGTTTCCCAAATAGTCTGTGCAGACACACTATTCAGAGTTGGTATTAACAGCCGCAACAGTTGAGACCAATGAGTCAACCCCACAAACATTGCGACCCCTGCAGATTTTGTAGAACCCGTTCTCTCCCCAGTTTGGTCCCCATGAGTTCTTAATGATCCAATATGGTTTATCCTTCAACCGGATCGGAGCATAGCCTGTCGAGCCGTACCCCACCAACAATACTCCGTGATCAAGACGTTTAGAGCAAATGTATGGGCAAGAAACACCCCCGATGTACGTTTGCATGAACACTGCATTTATAGCCACTGTGCCATTGAAAAAGAAGCAGATGAATGAGAATTAACGATGCGAAATGGAAACCCGTAATCCATCAACGAAAAATGATGTCAGTCAGATAAAACCAGTTGAAATTTAAGCAGGGACCTCCCAAGAAGTATTTAAAGAAAAAAAATGAAGATTATGACTACCAGAAAGTTCCTAGATCAGGGCTTAATTTCACTAATATCAAAATCGATAGGGAGTGAAAAAGTAAATAAACCAGATAATGAACGGGTATCTTACTAAAAGATAAATCTATTTGTTATCTAAATAGAATATTTTTCTATTAGTCATTTTCACTAGTCAGCATAGAGTGACAAGGGATATGTTGTATCAAGTCTTGAAGAAATGTTCTTCACACCTCAAAGCCATCATGCTGTAATAGTAACATTATTTTTAATTTTCTTGTTTGATTTTTCTAATTATTTAAGAGGAAAAGAAGGGTTAATATTGTATCGATTTACCTGCAAGAGGGCCATTCTTCACTAGATTAGCAGCAATTTGATCCTCATCAAGGGAAACAACACTGAAATTAGCCACCTTTGCGGCAATCTTGGTCTTGTCAAATTTGCATGTCCCATGATCAGTGCCAGTGTAAGGGTAATCTTCGTCGCGCATGAGTCCACCAGCTTTGAGTGTATACTCCAAAGCACTATTCATGAGCCCACCATTGCATCCTGAGTCACAAGAACCTGCTTCCTCCGGATCACACTACAAACCAAAGAAGATTTACATACTTTCTTAGCAATGAATAAGTCAAATGATCAATTTCTTATTCCCAATGATGGACCGAGGGGTGATGTCGCATCCACTGAAAATTTCAAATTCCTATCTAATTTAGGTGTTTTCTTTGTATTTTCTATCGATGAATTAATTTCGCACCCCCTGAAATTTTGTAATTTCGTATCCTTAGATTTTTAATATAATTTTTAGGTTCGCACCCCTGACATAAAATCATGCCACCGTGCCTGTTTATTCCCACTTATGAAATTAAACAAACAAGAACGCCATTATACCAAACAATTATCCTATAATTAGAACCTAAAAGTTCATCGGTTCTTTTTCTTGTGACAAGTTCCTCAAGTATTCATAATATCCATGTCATTATCCTGTTAAACAATGAAAAAAAAATTAACAAGCAAGTTTCGAATGCAATTCTTCAAATTGCAAACTTACAAGGTAGTTTTACTAATCATCCACAAGTCAACGCAATAATTTTGATCATGTTTCAAATTCAATGAGACTTAACATCTTAAATTATGCATACCATTTAGTACAAATTAAAGGGAAAAAGCTTTAATGAACATCAATTTGAAATCGAAACAAGTAACAATCCGGCTAAAACCATAAGTCGAAGCATACATTAACATTAAGAACATCAAAGCAAGTAAAATGAATTCAAACCTCATGATCACAATCTACGAGCTGTTGCTCACTAAGGCTCTCGAGTTTCCCAGTTGCCAGAAAATTAGCACCTTCCAAGGCTCCTGTCGTACTAAAAGACCAGCATGATCCGCATGAACCCTAACCAACCAAACAAACATAAACAAATTTCAAATGTAATTCATTTATTTTTTAAAAAATACACAAATTACAGATTTAAAAAAACCTGATTTTTGACGGGCGTGACAGCTCCTTTTTCTCTCCAATCAAAATCTTCAGGCAAACTATCGGTAGGCAAAATCGGTGCCTCGGTCGCATCTTTAGGCAGTCTCAATCTCCTTAATCCCAAATACATCTTCCTGAACTCGCGGGGAGTAACATCGGAGAACTGAGTCACACCGTGAGTCGCAGACGGGTCAAGCTTCTGATGACGCGCTGCTCGTCTCAGGTTATCCCGGAAAACCTTGAACCGGTAATCGTGCTCCTCCTTCGACCCGTACGATTTCTTGAACCGTGCCTTGAATAGAGAGAAATGATGCTCTGCGGTCAGAAGCTGTGGCTCGGCTCCATCCTGACCGTCCGTTACCTGCCTGATCAATGGATCAACTTCCGATCCGACGTCCGAGAAAGTCTCCGATGAAATCAAGCTAACGGATAAAAAGGAGGATATAGCAAACAGAGAAAACGCAATGTGATGAGCCATTTATTTTTCGTTCTTTTTTAAAAAGGGAAATATACGAAGGTGCGTTATTTATAGCTGACATAGTTATCGAGGCGGTTCTCTAAAGGTTAAAATCGTTTTCAGTCCCTTTATTATGCTAAAACTTAATTATTAATCCTTGTTCTTTAGTTTAATATAATTTAATCTCTATTTTACTATTGTCATCATTTAATCTCAACAATTAACACCGTTAGCTACTTCAAATAAAATATTAATATGGTATTTTCTTTAGTCAAGGTATGTCACTATCTTAAATCATCTCGATCTCTTAAATTATATTTTACTATTCGATCAATTATAGTTCGTGTGGGAATGGATTGAGAGAATATTAAAGGATACAATCATATTTCTAATATAACTTTCTAAGTTCATATGTCATAAAATAAATTTACGTTTCCTTTTCTGATTGTTCGAACTCCCTAATAACATTATAAAAATAAAACTGTCGAATTGTGTTGATTTAAAGTGCAAGGATTAAATTTTACTTCAAGTATATTAGAGGGAGCAAAATCAGAATTTGACTGAGATCAAAACTAACGGTCATGGGGGGTATTTGGGGCTTGGAAGGTTTGCTTTAGTGCAAGGGAAAGAGTGGCCAAGGAGGAAAAGCCACGTGGTTGAGTGGAGTGTGAGGATCGAATGACAGTTGCTTTTGGGTTTTGTTGGGTCGGTTGAGCGTATAAAATAATTGAATCCCTTGAAAATGGTAATGTTGGGTTTTTTTATTGTGGATTTTGGGTCACCTTTGTCGAGTCTGCTTCGTTTTATTTCTTGTTGACACTGCAGACATGGAATTATGTGCAACGTGGGTCATAGTTTTGTTTTCTTTAACATTCTCGACGTTTTAGATAAAGTTATGTACAATTTACAAATATAAAATTAAATATTAATAAAATATAAAAATATTTAATTTATATGATTTTTTTAGAGATTAGACCGCATCCAATATCTCCGGCCCATATCGCGTATGAGTTGGCTATCAATGTATAATGTTTCTCAAGGAACTATTAGGTCATGGGTTCAAAGCCCTTTACACACAAATGTATAATATTTCTGCGAAAGAGAACTTTGTCTTTAGTTTACAGCTTTCTCTTTTCCTCACCCTTTAGCTTTGTGCCAACTTTTGCATTTGTTTAGGGCTAAGGTCATCTTTAATCTATTCGAAGGCAAGTTCCACTATGGGTGTAAACGAGCCAAGTCGAGCTCGAGTATTGTTGAACTCGACTATACTCGAGTTCGACTCGAAAATTCTGAAATTGAGCTCGACTCAACTTGAAAATTCGTGAGCTTAAAATTTTAAAGCTCGATTCGAAATCATGAACTGAAGCTCGTGAACAGCTCGAAAAGGCTCGAAATGAAAAAAAATTCTTAAACTTAACTCGATTGAAGCCTCAAACTCAAACCTGAACCTTAAATACATGAAAATCTTACTGTATTTAAAAAAAATCAATACATAAATATTAATATTATTACTAATTTATTTTTTTAAAAATAAAATCTTAATATATTATATTTTCGAACTGCTCACGAGCTTTTCGAGTTGAATATCAAGTAGCTCGTTTTGGCTCGTTAAGAACTCGAGTCGAGCTCGAGCTCGAGTCGAGTCCATTCGATCCGAGTATTTATCGATCTTTGATCGAGTCGATCTCGAGTAACTCGCGATTTGTCTCGTCTCATTTACAGCCCTAAGTTCCACCACGAAATGATAACTTCTGATCCTTGAAAATATCCTCTGGAATATCACCAATACACTGTTAATGTAATTTAATAGATTAAGTTTAAAAAACTATATATCAACTTTGATTTAATATGTAATATGATATATAAATTTTAGCGGTTCAAATCCGAATAATACGTAAATATTCTAATCTCTCTTGTTTCATACGATAAAATTATACTTTTACTCCTCTCTAATAATTAATAATTTAAATTAGATCATTCAAATACAAAATTTTAAATTTTATATGTCTTTAATATAAAATTCTTAATTTTATCATTTGCTCTTGAAATATCTGAATATATAATAATATTTATCATATATAGAGTTGTGTGGTCGAAAAATCTTGCAATAATGTTAAAGCATCTTAGATATGCTACATGCATAAAGGAGAAAACAAACAAAGGCGTGAGAAACGTGAAGTAGGGAAATGGAATCGAAATGTGAAGAAGAAAACGAATACGAAAGCACGTTGAAAGGAAGGAGCGTGAAGTGATTGTGATTGGCGAGCGATCATGGACCGGCCAATCTGGTCAGTCAACGAGTGGGTTCTGGTCCACTGCTCGTGGCTTGCCCGCCCACCTTCCTCTTGTTCACTTTGCTTTATCACTTCTTAAAGCGTCTTAAGTCTTAACTCACATTCTTCGTACAGATAGGAAGGGTAGAGGGTTGAATATTTATAAATTTTAAAAACATTTGAATTTATATATTTATTTAAAAGTTTAAATTTAGTTTTTATTTGTAGATTATTTAATCATTATCATTAAATAATATTACTTTGTTAGACATACGTATCCACTAACAATTAAATTTTAAATTTTAAATAATCTTTTGAATATCAAAATTCGCATAAAGTCAGATTAATTAAAAGTTGAATGACCAAAATTTAAATTGGCATAATGTCAAAATTAACATCCAATGTTTATCAAAATGGATGTTTTAGCCTCTATTATTTTTTTCTAGAGCATTTTGGCATCAATTTTTTCATTTTATAGCAGTAAGGCTCTAACGTTTGACTGAATAATCACTTTAGCTCTTATTATTTTTTCTGGAGCGTTTTGACCCTCAACAATTTATTTTAGGGTAAAAAGACTCATGTTTTAGAGTGTTAACCGTGTGATATCTAAGGATTTTCATTCACAGAAGGATTTTTTGCCCCAAAATGAAATGGTGGGCCAACCTACTTCTAAAAAAAGAAAAGAATAGAGACCAAAATCTTCATTTTAGTAAACATTGGAGGACTAATTATGACATTAACCCATTCAAATCTATTAGAAGTAATAAATTATCTATTTTGTAATTAAAAGTGAATTTAAATACCAAAATCTATAAAATTAATACTTATTCAAATAATGGAATGAAACTCTGAAGGTGTATCAATATACATCCCTAATTCACATCTCATAATAATTTTAATATCTTAATCCATAAATTATTATAATATATAAAATCTAAATTAATAAAAGAACCGATCAGACATCTTTAAATGTCTAAATTCTTAATTTAAATTGTCCAAATGGACATGAGTTGAAAAAAGAAAGTGAATTGAAAAAAAAAGCAGAAAATACAATATTTATTTGAATAACTATTAATATTAATATAATAATATTTTCTATCTAAAATTAAATATTTCACTTCGACTGTAATTGAATGTGATTAAATTATTATATACATTTTTTCCATAATTAGAATAGGGGTGTAATTTAAGCTCCGAACAAAAAGTGTAAACATTATTTAATTATTAAAACAATGGAGTTATATATGTATAATTTTTTATTCATAATAATTACTTTAGGAATGAAAAATAATATTTTTTAAATAATTCAATTTTATTTTAACAGACATAATTAAAATAATTCATTCATTTAATTTACTTGATTTTGTTGTTAGTATAAAAAAATTAATTAAATTGTCATGATGTTGAGATTCAATACTACATAATCTGTATTACTATATATGCATAGGAATATTCTTTGTAGTTCACTGAGAAAATTACAGAATCCCGTGACTAAAATTATTAAATCAAGATGACCTTTCTTTTTGAATTTGGACTCTTAGCAGTATAAATTCGGCAAATCAGTAGCTAAGGAGCGTGGCGTTGAAAAAGAAAGAAAGAATGGATTCTTCTTCTTCGTTTTGTTTCGTTGTTATCGTTTCTGTTTTACTTCTCAATTCATTGTTAACATGCAATGGGGGAAAGACCAGTATCTATGTGAGGAAAGCGGAGAAAACTGTGGAGATGCCGCTTCACAGTGACGTCTTTCAAATTCCACCCGGTTACAACGCACCCCAACAGGTGAGGGTTTTGTTTTAAATCCAGACAATTCAATTTATTTGTGTGTTTTGTGATGTCGGTGTTTTGGTTTTTTCAAGGTTCATATAACACAAGGCGACCATGTGGGGAAGGCCGTGATTGTTTCATGGGTGACCCCGGATGAACCCGGTTCGAATACAGTGGTTTACTGGAGTGAGAACTGCAAAGCGAAGAAGGCTGTGGGGAAAGTCTATACTTATAAGTTCTACAATTACACCTCTGGTTTCATTCATCACTGCACCATCAGAAATCTGGAGGTAAATATAAGCAGTGATTTACGTTTAGGTTTTATTTCGTCGTGCTTTGATTGGTCCGCATTTTGATTGAGTCTCTGTATTTGTTTGTTTACAGTATGACACTAAGTATTACTACGTGGTTGGTGATCGTAAATCGATGCGAAAGTTCTGGTTTACAACTCCTCCTCCAGTTGGTCCTGATGTCCCTTACACGTTCGGTATAATTGGTAAATGAATCTTTGCTTACTGCTTTAATTGGGTTAAGGTATTAGTATTGCTGTACATTCGGGTCACAATCCGAATGTCGGCACAGTGACGACTTGTATGGGCTGCATTTGCGTCTTCATTGCAAACCGGCATATGAAAATAATGCCTGCAACGACTTAGGAAAGTGATAGTGCAATATTTCTGGGGTTATCTTGTTTGTCTTTCGATCAATTGATAATTTGACATTGGGAATGGTTATGCAGGGGATCTTGGGCAGACTTATGATTCGAATATCACACTCACTCACTATGAAAGAAACCCGAAGAATGGTCAAGCGGTATTGTTTGTTGGCGATCTTTCGTATGCCGATAACCATCCGAATCATGACAATGTAAGGTGGGATACATGGGCAAGGTTTGTTGAGAGAAATGTTGCATATCAACCCTGGATATGGACTACTGGAAATCACGAAATTGACTTCGCCCCTGAAATTGTAAGCATTTTGTTCTTAGTGTGA